TCTCTGAGAGGTTCTGCATATCTTCCAGTTCAGATAGCAGAGAAGAATATTATTTATATTAACTAGAGAAGATATTTATTTTGATGATTTCTTGTTAATCATACAATGTCTATCATTATATTACTATATCATTATATTGCTATATCATTATATGATTTCTGTTATTATTATATGACTTCAGTGATGATCATCTTCTCTTTTTATTCTTCTTTTGAGTAGAGAGTGAACTTCTTTAAATCTGGTTCACTGCTTTCATTCTCTTTCTCACATCTCATCTGTTTGTGTCTCATACATGGCATTTATCTGAGTGTGAAGTTTTCTCCTCAACAAGCAAAGCAGTATCAATTGAATGCTCTTCTACTTACTGTTCTTTATATGCTATCTTTTGAGACATTCTAGAACCACACTGACATGATAACTATGAATTACTTTGTAGACAGAATTATCACACTCTGGAGAAGCCTGCACTTCTCATCAGTTTTTAGACATGCTATCAGATGTGATTCAAAGATTGCTTGAGTCAGTGTATGATTACAGGTGTACACTGACTTCTTATATATTGTATGCTAAATTAATTAGTGGCCGCTATGACCCCTTTACATTCGTAAGCAAGTTCAGAAGCGGCCGCGTTATTATCCGATAGTCATACATTCTTCCGAATCACATATTAACTATCTATCACTTCAAGATTGATAATGCATTAGAATAGATAATTCAGACTATAAAGAATTATCTTTATAAGTTCTGTAACTACTTATAAGACAATTGATATAATCTTCTTCTACCTGCAGAGATTGCTATCAACAGCTGAGATACTGTCTTAATAGATATAAGTCTGTTCTTTCTTACATATAATTATTACATGAAAGTGTTGAATCTTCTAGAGACTACACAGTTTACACTGAATTCTTACAGTTTAATTCAGATCACTGATAATATAGTAATAAAGCTCTGAAATATCTGTGACTGAGTAGAAGCCTTTATAATAAGTGCTAAATAAGATTAAGAAGATTAAATTAATATTCAATGAGATTCTACAGAGTAGTATAAGATAGAAGATCTTATATAATTGAATCTTAGAAACATATAAATTACATACCTATTCTATACATTGAATTATTATCATATGAAATACATAGTGATAGAAGTTCTAGATAGTTATAATTACTGTCTTAATATCTTATCAGAGATTTATAATGTGTTTTATATAAGCTTACTCTGCTACACTGTCACTGACTCATTCTCTTCTCAACTGACTTCTAACTAACAGCTGTCAGAAATTATAGAAGAAGATAATGAACTTGAGTGAGAGATTGAGAATATTCTTGATAAGAGATTCTGTAGCCTTAGCTAATAATATCTTGTAAAATAAGTCAGTTATAATCACTTAATCTGAACTCTGAGTTTCATGTTATCAGAGACTGCAGCTCATGACTGATGAGAACTATGTATAATCAGAGAAGAGAGAGGCTAATATAACAGACTGTGTCTGATCAATTATATAGACTATTCTGTTATACTTCATAAATTTCTGTTAAAAGCTTCAATTCTCAGTCACTGATTCTCAGCTGAAAATCTATGAAATTTCTATTCTTCTGTCTCAAAGCTCCACTGTGTACCTTATTACATATGTGTATAAATATTCACTTCAATCACTGATTTTCACACTTTCTCTTTCTTTTCCTTTTCTAATGTTTTTCACTTTGTTATATAAAACCTATATATTATACCAATCTATTCAGCGTAGACCTCTTACAAGATGTGTTCACTGATTATATACTTGATATTATTACTGAGATATCTTTTTGTATATTTCTGTCAGAGATGAGCTAGATTAAAAAGAGTGATACATGAAAGGAACTTGATGTTAATGTTTTGAAATATCAAAGATAGACAGGGTTTTCACAGAGATTACTCTTCAGATATCTTCATAATTACATGTCAGAAATCTTTGAAAATAGAGAAGATTGATATATATGATTAGGTCTCTTCACCTTACAAATTGTATGGCAATTTGACCCGGGGTTGTTATGTGATAGAGATGAATGAGAGATCATCTCACACATAAGTTTTGAACAATGTCTGGTTCACATTTGACTGAATAACTCCATTATCACACAGGGTATGCAGTTGATGATGAGGTCAAAATGCTTATATGATTGAGAGCTTTTTAATGAATCTATCAGCGGGTTCTTAATCGAAAAGTTGAGTGAGTTCGTGATGAAGTGATCTGTCTGAAAACTCAGAGCAGTATTTATTCTTATAAATATAAAATGAGTTTTTCAAATAAATTTTACATGGATAAGATAACACTCATTGATAGCTACAAGCTCAATCTTTTCTTATAAAATAGAGTCGTGAAGAACATACTGAAATCACTTATAAAGAGCTTACTCTAAACTGAGTAGTATATATATATACTCACTCTATTAAATATATTTAAGTAAGTCTTCTTATCTCTGAAGATTATCAGCACTGATCAGACAAGAATTAACACTGAGAAATTATACTATATCTTTTATTTACTGATTATTAAGCTTATTTAGAGAAATCAGTTAAATGATTATCTTTTCTATCAGAATTGTATAGAATTGAAAAATAAGACTCTTTTCATAGTCAGTTCTGATAATGAATAAAGTATCACTATATTTATATATTATGTACTGAAGTATATAGACTTATTCTATATATAAGTAAAGAGTACACTCAGAATCTGAATATAAGTCTTGAAGTATTTATTAAAGATAATACTGAATAATATTCTATTACTTATTAATACTATCTAGTTCAGTATAACTTATAATAAGTTATAGTATATCTTTAATATTTATTAAAAGTATTTACTTCAATAATAACTTTTAAAGCTGCTATTATAACTAGACTGATTGTATGACTGTGTCTGAGATTAGAATCAGAATATTTAATAGTCTTATTATTAATTTAACTGATCTCATTACACTGTTTTAAGATTAGATAGTGCCCCGGTGGCCGAATGGTTAATGCGGCCACCCGGTAGCGCCTTGGCGTGGGAAACCAAGGCGCGTGGGTTCGAAACCCGCAGGGGATACATTAAATCCGGAACTCAAGCACCTCAGGTTCCTAATAAATACAGAGGTGTACAAATTGCTTCAATGAATCGCTCTATGTTCCTGGGCTGGGAAGTTATTATTGCATGTATTTAATTGTCACTTCTTTGTATTTTCCTATGTTCTTGTTATCTTGATGTGGTCTCAACACCTGTATTTCCTCCTGTATAACCAACACTTGACCTGTATTTAACATCACGCAAGGACTCATCATAAGCTCCGCTTGCATATGAGTATAATGAAAGAATAATAATAATAATAATAGTGGTCTTAACATCTGTATTTCCTCCTGTATAATCAACACTTGACCTGTATTTAACATCACGCAAGGACTCATTATAAGCTTTGCTTGCATATGAGTATAATGAAAGAATAATAATAATAATAATAATAAAATTAGATAGTAGTTTTATACTGTCTCAGTAAGACTTACTGTCTACTCTTATTACATTTTTCAAATGAGATTATAATTTTCACTTCTCAATTTAAATTATTTTTATTGCTTTAAATGACTTTAAATCTCATTTAAGTATTATCAAAAAGTGTTACTTTTTAAAAAATTAAAAATAGTCTAAAAAAACCTTAAAATGTCTAAAAATAGTAACTTTATGTCAAGAATGAGACTAAATGAGATTAAATAAAATTACTTTCTTATTTTTTCTAAGTTATAGTCTCATTTTGAGATCTGATATATAGTTACTTTATATGTTTTTTTAATGATTAGTCTCAGTAGAATTCACATTAAGAAATGTATAAGATTAAATTAAATGAGATTAAATATGAAATTCATAATTCTGATAATCAGTCTAGTTATAACTAACTTATATATTTTCTTTAATTTTTTTTAATTATATTTGATGCAGTTAATGAGATATTATCTAACTCAGCTATTGAAAAGAAGTATTATATAATTGATTCAGAAGTTATCAGAAGAGTTCAGAAGTTATTAAAAGTTATTAGAAGTTACTGAAAAATATACTCAGTTCTTTGACTATAGTCTTTAATAACTGAATAGATACTTTGATAGCAAGATCAAGATATTGAATAACTAGATATAATCATGATTGAAAAATTAGTAAATTATTCTTATATTCAAAATCATAGTAGTAGTTTTCAATGTAACACTTTATACTCAGAATATATATATTTTCAGATAAAAATTACATTAATTAACAGAAAATTGAAAAATTAATTCTTCAAGATAATAGAGAAATAATCTATAAGTAATATTATATAATGATTCTATCTTAAATATTATAATTGAAGTAAATCATTTCTATGTTACTAATAAATAGAAACTGTTTTTTCTCAGACACTCTGTGAAGAGTTTGCTGAGAATATCTCATTTAGATTTAGTGTAAGCTCTGTGATAGTTGATTGACTCAGATATTAGCAGGACTTGACAGAAAGTAGCAGTAGTTCAGATTGGGTTAGCTCAGAATGGAGTGGCTACACAATATAGTGGTTGGTCACCTGATCTAGGGAGATCGCAACGGCCGCGACGGCCAACAATAAGCCTCTCGATCAAAGAAGATAAGCCTCTTGACTCTAGATTTTTAATTTGAATACAATACGTACGCCAGCAGAAGAAGCCAGGCAATAGGCCAAGTGGCTCGTTTATTTGTTTATTTATTTTCTTTGAGGATTCAACTTTTTCAGTTAGAAGGAGAGAATGAATAAGATAACAGAATCAGATTATTAGACAATCCTTCAAGTTTTCTATATTGGAACCTGTTAAGATCTTGGGATCTAGTAACAGTACGTACATGTACTGTACATGCACATAACGTATCCTTCCCATCCTGTGTTTCTCACAGCCCTAACCCATGACCCACACACATATATATATATATATATATTAGTTGCTGTACTCCGTATAGCCTCCTACATCCTCCTACACACGCGCTCTTGTTTCTTCACGGCACGTCATTTCCACAAGGCAAAGAGATTTTTTTCCTCCTGGCACAACGCAGCCATCAGATCATCCAATATGGCCTCTAATAAGTGCGATCGTGCGGAATTGCAGCTTCAACTGGCTGAAGCAATACAGGCACGACTGGAAGCTAAACAAGAACGACTGAAAGCTCAACGAGCACGACTGCAAGCTCAACGAGCACGACTGAAAGCTCAACGAGCACGACTGAAAGCTAAACAAGCACGACTGAAAGCTAAACAAGAAAGACTGAAAGCTGAACAAAAGTACGCCGAAGAAAAGGAGCGAGTCGACCAATTAAGGGCGAACATAGCCCCGACAAATCTTGAGATATATCTCCAACTTGTCCAACAGTGGCTTGTGTCGATGCTGTCTATCGAACCAGACCCTGATAAAACTTCAACTGGCTCTGTTACATCAGTGGACGGGAAGTACAATCCACTAGAGCTTTATGTATGGGATGATTTTCCACATAACGAAACCTTTGACAAGTTTATGAACCTCTTCTCACACAAGCCACTCTTTCCTTCTAAAACCGATGTTCTCGGTGTCCAGCGCGACATCTCGCTCAATCCCTGGAGGAATGAACATGACATTCGACCCTTTATTCGGAGTGCCATTGAGAAACCGGCGCACCGTGTTGTGACAGCTTATCTTGAACAGTCTGGCAAAGCGGATCGATTTTTCTTCATGGACTATGCTCAGAGCCTGGACAACAGGGCCCCACAGGAGCAATCTGACAAATGCAAAGTCTCATCATCTCCCCAGAAACAGTCCCAGTCCCCTGAACACAAAAATACCAAGCCAATTCCTGAGCGTTGGGGCATCTATGAATTCTTGTCTAGAGATGTTCGCCATGTGTGTGTGGGGGAATATAGAATAGCTCGTAAGATACACACTGAAGAAATCAAACAAATCCTATCCTCTTCGTCTGCAAACCTATTTCTGGAGGTTCTTCGCCGAAAACAGTCTGGGTTTGTCAACTCTGATATAGAGAAAACTCAGGAGAAGGTAGCACAGATTCTGTGTCAGACATTCCATTACATGATCACAAGTGGCCTTTTATATGGATATATTATATTGGGAGAGAATCTGATCTTTCTGAAGATTGAAAATTCCTCACCTCAGAAGCTGTATTTCTATCTCACCCCCCAGGTAGTCACTGAGACTGAGTCCCCCCATGAATTTGAGATTCGAAATGCTCCAGCTGCCCAGCTGGCAACTTTTGCAACTGTGGCTCTCCATTCAAAAGAGATATCCCGCGATTGGATTACCAAGGCTCAAAACTGTGGCATCTGTCGATGGCCTCTCCTTCCCCCTAGTCCTCTTATACAGGGTGCCATGCTGCAACCTCAAGGGTTTGATGAAGATCCAAGTCAGAGTAGTGAAGACGAAGATGAAGACTCCAGAGACAGCAATTACAATCCACCAACTGAGAGACAAGCAAAGACTCAATCCCAGCAAAACCAACAAATCAGTCAACGTCGGCAATCTAGTCGCCAACGAAATATGACTCAACGACCGATTCTACCATGTTGCACGCAGGCTTGTCTTCTCGGCCTTGTTAAAGCTTTGCCTCTTGACCTAAGTTGCCCCAATGCTACCCTACATCAACAGGGCCAGGCATCCAAGAGGCATCTTGTTACCAAGGAAGACCTCTGTTCCCTTATCAAGGGGCAGCTTGCCTGTAGTCTTGATGAAGACTGTGAATGCCTAGATCGAGAGGGTTTATTTGGGAGAATCGGTGTGCTCTTCAAAATCACCTTGACCAAATATGGATATACCTTTGTGGCCAAAGGTGTGCAAAGTGTGGATGAGTCTTATCTTGCTCATGAAGCTTGTGTCTATGCTCACTTATCTCATCTACAAGGAATTAAAGTCCCAGTCTTCCTGGGAAACATTACCCTTGAGCAGCCATATCCCCTTGTCAGTCTTGCACTTGTCACAAAGATGATGTTGATGTCTTGGGCTGGGTGTAGTATAGGGATGAATAGCTGGCCAGAAGATGTTAATATTGAGAAGGAAAAGGAGGAGACACTACATGCATTGACGTCCTCTGGCATCAGCCACAACGACATCAGAACTGCAAATCTGGTTTGGAACCCTGAGCGAAAACAGGTGATGGCAATTGATTTTGATCAGGATACGATTCACCACAATAAACGAAAGGCATTTATCCACCTTCAGGCGTCGCCAAGGTGGAAAATGATTGGGAATTGAGGTAAACAAAAGACATCAGGCGGGTCTCATCCAGGGATGAGAGAGCTTTGGCAAGGAGGATATGTATGGGCCCTGCGAGTCTTGAAGACTAAGTGTCTTACTGCCGGTAGTCTGTTCCTAGGATGGCACTGTCCTATTGTTGCCAGTTCCTCTCTTTTCTTTTTGATGGCTTTTTATCTTTACAAGCCTGCCACGGTCGCCCGGTTTGGTGGATTGTATTTGGGGGATTCAACAGGTTTTTCTAGAAAATTTGCTGTATCAGCTTGGGGGGATACATGGAATTCTATATGTTGAGCAAAATGAGAGCAGGTCCGGGTGCGTTGCTAGGATGGTGTTGGCAGAGAATGTTATCGGACTCGAATCCTGCATTGTATTGGACTTTCAACAAAATGAGAGCCCTGCAAACACAACATGACGGCCTATCCCTATCCCCACCCCTGGCGGACATTGCATTCTAATATGTGTGTATGTGAACAATTGTTGACGCGAGATGTTCTGGCGTTGGTTGAAGTTATATACTCTGTAGTGGCATGCATGGCAGCAATGATGAGGCAGAGCCGGCGCAATTGTGATAACTAATTAATGTTAAGTTGTCATTAGTTATTAGTTATTTTATACTAGTTGCTGTTTATTTCATAGATACGTAATCCAATCTAACTTACTCCGTAGTTAATTACCAGCAGGGTATTAGTTATGTTGATGATATTTTAGTGCAGCTGATGCAATGACAGTAGTTAGTATCCAGCTCTCAAACCTCAATTCGCCTCTCCAATGGCACTGCACTCTCTTTCTTCTAGTAGCGTCCCCCGCATTGCTCTAACGTAGTCTTTCGAGTCTTTTAAAAGTCTTCGAGTCTTATTTATTAACTTATATTAGCCTTTAACTATTTAGGTCGCGCCTTCAGCCCTCGGTCTTCTTGTCCCACTCCATCTCCCGCGTCCAGACCACGCAAGAACAAGATCAAAACTTGGCCCCCCGCCCTAAATAGAAGAAAAAAAAAAGAAAAGAAAGAAAAGAAAACACTGCACGGGATCAGCTCAATTTTTCTCTTCTCTAGCGCCATTCTTCTGTTCTATTTCAGTGTGGCATTCCGTTTCCCTCTCTTTTTGTCTCTTCTCCCTTCATTTCCTGCTGTTGGTTCTGCGGGGAAGAGAGAGAGGGTTTCTTCACACTAACCTAGCTCAGACAACCGCGCGATATCACGATATATTTTATTTATTTCCATTTCGCTCTTCTCTACGTGGCACCAACACGCAATATCTCTGCAATTGATGCGGCTTCTTCTCTCCTCGCGCTCCTAGAGCTCTGGTGTTGTGTGTGAGAGAGTGTGTGTCTGTCGTGTATACATGGTGTCCCTCATAACCTCTCTCTCTCTCTCTCTCTCCCTCTCTCTCTCCTCTCAATCTCCCTTATACTAGTTGATCTCTTTAGCCCCACCGCCTAAATATTTTTTATATACTCCGTACTGCCTCCTCCCCTTTCTCTCCCCTCCAACTCCTGAGGACCCTCTATCTCCCCCTCCCCTCCCCTCTTCCTAATCAATCCATATGACCAAACCCAAAACAATCGCCATCGTCAATGCCTCCGGCCGCCAAGCCGCCTCCCTCATCCGCGTCGCCTCGGCCGTCGGCTACCGCGTCCGCGCCCAAATCCATACCCTCGAAGGCGTCATTCCGCAGGAACTCGCCAGTCTCCCCAACGTAACCCTCTTCAAGGGGCCCCTCCTCAACAATGCCCCCCTAATAACAACCCTCTTCGACGGCGCAAACCTCGCCTTCATAAATACCACCTCGCAGGCTGGCGATGAGGTCGCCATCGGCCGCGATCTCGCCGACGCCGCCAAACGCGCCGGCTCCATCACCCACTACATCTACAGCTCCATGCCGGACCATGCCGCCTACAACCCCTCCCGCTGGATCTCCCTGCCCCTCTGGAGCTGCAAGTTTGCCGTCGAGAACTACGTGCGCCAGCTGGGATTGCCGGCCACGTTTGTCTATGCGGGCATCTACAATAATAACTTCACGAGCCTGCCGTACCCGCTCTTCCAGATGGAGCTGTTGGAGAATGGCTCGTTTGAGTGGCGCGCCCCGTTCCATCCAGATATCCCGCTCCCCTGGCTCGATGCGGAACATGATGTAGGACCTGCTGTGTTGCAGATTTTCAAGGATGGACCGAAGAAGTGGAACGGACATCGGTATGTCAACACTTCTCAACCACCCCCCCTTCCCCTTTCCCTTCTAGTCCCCTGAAACCATATATATACAATACAACACAACTTAACTTAAATTTCGCTTTCGAAAATGAAACACACAGCATCGCCCTCTCCTTCGAAACCCTAACTCCCAACCAAGTCTGCGCCGCCTTCTCCCGCGCCCTCCGCCGCCCATGCGTCTACACCCACTCTCCCAAAATCGACATCAAAGTCTCCATCCCCGCCGGCTACCGCGAGCACCTCGAGGGCATAGAGGTGCTGTTCGGCCAGATGCAGGCGCCCTATTTCCCCCAGCCGGAATTTATCAACGCTGGCCACGACCAGGGTCAGAACCACGTACACACTCCTATCTCCACCGTAGCGACACCGACGACGGCGATGACGAAGAAGATTGCGATGATGAAGGGGACTGGTATAGGTGTAGGGCAGAAACAGGGGCACGGTACGGGGAAGGGACCTGGGGAGCCGTATGGGGGTAACCGGTCTCTGGGGCTTGTGGATGAGGCGAGGGGTTTGTGGGAAGGGTGGAGGGATATGGAGGAGTATGCGCGGGAGGTTTTCCCGGTAGAGGAGGAGGCGAATGGGTTGGATTGGATGATTTGAACTTTTTAGGGGACTGGCCAGGATGGGATGGTACGGTATGGTATGAGAGGATGAGAGCATGAGCCATGAGGCTATGAGATATGATATGACATATTGGGGATATTGAATGGCTTGCAAAGGAGGGGTGTGTGCGTGTGATGGGGTTTGAATAAGTTGAGAACGGGTATATCCTACGTTTTTTTTTTTAAATATCTGCTTATGGGGGTCAAAAGGGACTTTTTTTTTTTTTTTTTTTTTTTTTTTTTTTTTTTTTGGTTTTGGCTATTCTGTATCCGTACGATTACGACCATGATCCTCAGTTTCTGTCTTTCTTTTCTAACAATATAATATTGTCGTCCTATTCCTGCTTTCCGTCTCTCCCTCCTCTTATTACTAACTGTAGGCTGCTGGGGCAAAAGAGCTCAGTCACCACCAGCGCACTACTAGTAGAAGGGCCGATCAACCCCCGGGACCCCCAACAGAAACTATATGGATATAAGTTGGGTGGCACGTGATTAGGGTAGGTGTAGTAATCACCAACATGATAAAACAACAAGAATAATTGAGGGTGGAACTTTTGGTCGGTCCAGATCCTGCTAGAATATCAACAGCACCTTCTCCGAATTGATTGCCTCTCATGCTGTCATTAGGCTCACTCTCTTTCCTGGCTGTTCGTGCTTGCAGAAACAGGGCATATTTAAATCTCGCGACGCGGAACCTCTCCAACTGTAAACCGGCTTTAGTACCAAATACCACCCTTCATCGTAGAATAAACACAATGTCAACTGCCTTGACAGACTCTGCGGAGTACATCGGCCAGTCTGGCCACAGTTATAGGATTGAACAGGTGCTTCAGGAAGAGATATCTCCCCCACAGCAGGTTTGCCTTGCTACGTGAGTTGGCACTGATTACCCCTTCTCAAGGTTATGCACTCATGACTTCCTCAGCGCTGGCGACCGAAAGTTCATATTGAAGTATATTCACACAGTTAATTTCGAGGATCTTCAAGAGATAAATAATAGGCTACGCGGGGGTGCTAATCATGTCCGTCTTGTCCAAGACATCATTCCGGAGAAGTCAATGTTCGTTTTCAAGTGCTACACAGATCATCTCTTAAATCTTACTCAGAAGGACTTGCCTCTCAAAGTGAAAAAGAAGATTCTCAAGTGTGCTCTTCATGGAGTTGCAGAACTCCATGATCATGATATTGTTCATACAGGTAGGTTACACCTTTCACAGAGCAGTGAGTGATGACTTATTCTAAATAGATATCAAGCCAGACAATGTTTTTATTGACTGGAAAGATGACCGGGATGGAATCATTATTGATCAAGTCAAACTTGGGGATCTTGAAGATGCCGCGCATATCCCTCCTGGGTCACATATGATTGAAAAACAGGTGGGGAACTGGATGTGGAGGAGTCCTGAAGCCCACGCCAAAGGACCAGTGAATAAGCCATCTGATATTTTCTCTTTTGCTCTTGTTGTAAGTTTGTCGTAAATCTCCACGCCTATAAACTCTTGGATTCTCACTTATTATATAGTGTATTTATGCGATGCATAAACGCGTCATATTTGCTGTTGGGGAAGAGGAGTTGGATGAAGGTGTGGATCCCTTGGCTATTGTAATTGAGCGCCAAATCTCGTACTTTGCAGATGAAGACACACTGAATGGGTTTTTGAAATACCTTGGCAATAATCCCTGGGTTCGCGTGTTTGAAGTAATTCGGGATGGTTTCAACAAAGACAACCCGCGCCGACCATTTTTCCTTTGGAAGGGTGTTGACAATGATTTTAAAAGTTTTATCCGTGCAACGACAAATTTTGATCCGGAAAAGAGGATCACTGCTCATGAGGCGTTGGCACACAAGTGGTTTGAGGGTGTTTGAGATGGGCAGAGAAGCAAAGACATGTGAAATCAGTTACCCTAATCTACTCTTCTTAAAATGGGTGACACAGGTGTGCATAGCTATGCAGCAACAGCAGAAGTGACCTGAGTTTCCTTGGAATTACAGAACTTTCTAATTAGGAGGAACGAGAGAGAACTCGACGTGGTGTTGAGTAAACGGGGGAGTGAAGAGACATTAGATAACATAATGTTTTTCCTTTGCCGCGAGCTTAGAGAAAAAAAAGAATAAGAATCCAAATTATATAGTGATGAACAGTTCCTTAATTACCTGGGGTTTGTGTAGTTAACATCGTGGTGGAAAGTGGGCTCTAATTAGCAATGAAAACTGCCGAGGCCTTATCTATAAAAATGAGTTAAAGAAGAGAGAGCAAGGCCAGGTTTCATGAATATAATCTCAAAGTGAAATGATATCCATTCTTTCCATTGCGGTGCAGTAGGTAAACTTGAGGCTCCCTCTAACTTCTGACAACTCTTATGTACAAGGTATGCTCAGGTTTGGCACTTTCTTGCCTCCAACTTTTTGCCTTTTGGACCGTTCCCCTACCTATTTCTAGGGTATTATCCTCTCCCTCTTCCACCTCGTCTTCAATATGATCTGTAAAGCTCCATTGCGGGGCGCCCACGCACTCAGCGTCCGTTTCGTCAGCTAAAGTATCAGACTCCACGCAAACTGGGCCAGCCGCTGAAATAGAAACTGCCCCATTGCCAGATGATGCAAAAGACTGAGATTCTGTACACACTCCCGGACCCTTTTCGTTCGCAACCTCAATAAGCGCGTCTCTCGCTTCCTTCGCACAGTCGCGAGCATTTCGATATGAAGTAGCTCCATGCCGAAAGGTATCTGCATTGCCAGTCATGCCCCAAGTATTGAGTGGAGTCATAAAATATTCAGGATGATTTCCAGAATCGGTCGGCTTCATACAATGAGAGGTGTATAACTTGAGCGTCCCATCGTCGTATGTTGATGTAATAGTATAACCCTTGTGATCATTGCAGCCTCTGATGTCTTAAACCTGCACACTTGTATATTTTCTATATTCTTGTCAGTTCATCGCTACGGACCCTGATTGTCATCGAGAGGCAAATGACCATAACCAGAAAATGAATTGAATAGACGATATAACTATCTAAAAATAGATCGAGTTATAAGGGGTAAAAAACCTCCTCAATTGGGTTTAGATTGTCCGCCTCTGCGCGAATAAACCAAACCCAAAAAGGTAACACTGGCCACCCTTCCGTTCCTATGAGCCCGCCAATGAAGACTTCCAGGACCAGATAGATCCTAGACGAAGTTAATGGCCTACATACAGATATAAACCAAGGCGTTTAGATAGATTCAGAAACAAAACATTTTAAAAACAAAAACATGGCGCATGCTAAGCCACGTAGCCTTCGAGGCGGCTGGACAGTGTAGCTGACATAATCACATCAAATCGTTGCTTTAAGTTATCGACTAGTATGCGCTTTCATTGCTCAAGAAACGACTTATATTAGCCCTTTCCACCCTTCGGAACCACACTGGACTATTATTGTTTGCTGACTATATGTACCTCCCTCTAGTGATCCATCTCTGGTCGCTGTGTACTTCAAAAACGTCGCTGCTGCTTTCCACAGGTTTCATGGCCTGCAGTCCCAGCCGACCGCATGGTTCTCTTCTTGGACGGCGCCTCGGTCTAGTATCATTATGTGTTGGTTAACGGACTTTGGTATAAGTCTGGGGTGCAACCTTACCCGTTGGGTTTTGATTGTCGACTCCAGAAGCGCAATATACGAAAATAGTGTTCTAGCGTCAGCGAGGATAACTGTGTTGTCAAAGTTGTCCAATATATTGGTTTGCCGTCTCACTCGATCGGTATATTCTTCAAGCCTCTTTCGGATGTATCCCATCTCTTCCTGGCCGAGAGGTTTGTACATCTGCCGAAAGGGAATCGTTGGCTGGCTCTCTGCAAGAGCTATATGATCTTGCCTGGTGACCACGAATAGTAACTTTATGTTCATTGAGCCGAAGTCGCACATGGTGGCTTGCATATTTGCTGCATGAATGCTACTAAAATTCATATAAGCCCTTCTACGAGGACATTCCATTAATCATGGATTTTCAAGCCTATGCATAGTCTCAGTTTCTGACATGGGGGGGAATCTTCGACTTTTCCTTTAAGTGTTAAATTTACATGAAGCCTACACTTAGAAGAAGGAAAAGAAATAAAATAAAATATTATTGCCATTCGATGGAACAATGGCCCACAAGCATATCCTAATGAGGCATCAATGAAGGGAACTGTAGGACACCAGCAGTTGGTCTGAAAGTTTTGCCAAATCAATTCAGGCTTTCAGTTGTAATTTTCACTGACCATCAATCTGGAATTTTTGCACTCACATGAAAAATATCCCACCCAGTTCATCAAGATCAATCAAGCTACTTTGTGCTGAGGCTGACAAAGCATCCCAGTTGAACAGTGAAAAACAATCATTTTTATTTAGCTAAGGGTTTTGGGAGTCAAGGCATTGATCACTCAAAATCAAGGAGAGAATTTGCAGAAGATGTAGGATTGATCCACATTTATTTGCATTTCAGGGTATTTGCCTGCAAGCCAGTGATTGGTTTCGCAATAAATACAACATAAAACCGCCTGTTACTCTGATATTCTGATCAAATGCTACATTATGCAAACATTAGAACCGGACGGCCACCCAAATTACAAAAAGTAAAAGTCCACAAAGTACTATAGTTGGGCAGAGGACTACAAGGTGGCAGAACAGACGAGATCACAGAGCAGAGCGAGAAAGGACGGCGTTTACAGTACACAGCGGTTGAAAGGACGCAGCAAGTGCGTCGTCGGTTTGTCAGCACGAAGGGCCGGGCAGTTTCTTCCGCCACTGTTACAGTTTTGATCATCGGCTGGGCGATAGTTCATGGGCGTCTGATGCCCGCACCGGTACTCCGTAGATAGATTATAGATGACAACGTTATCCTCCAACAAATTCATCCAAACCCTGCCACATACTTTATTAGGCGCATTGCTTTCTTTTATTAAGAGCACTTCAGACTGATTTAGTAAGAACATATTCTTTGCCGCCACAAACGGGTATGATTCTGCCTGGATAAAAATACTATCACAGCGCTACAGCTAACTTCTAAGCAACAGGGAGCAAGCATCTCTTCACTCAAGTGTACAGATCATCATGGAAAACCCCGAAATTGATCATGTCGATGAGGAACGCCTGAACGCGTTTCTTGAATGAATGGATGAACGATGCACATTTCGCGCCGACGAAATTCTCAGGTCTGGGGAATGTTAAAAAAGACCGCGAGCTTCGTGAGAAAGTCATGAGTTTTCTTGAAAATATTTACGAAGAGGTATTGTTGGTGGCAATCCCATTTTTAGGACCTAAGAAAACAGCTAACATTCGGATAGGGATACAATTATTCGGTGTGGAGATCCAAAGAAGATTTCAATCTTTTGGGTCTTGACGGACAAGGGGAAATTATAATTCTTTCAGGACAACCGAGAATTGCGACAGGGCCGGCGATAACTACAGCCTGGATCGATCAAAAAGATAACCGATAAGGATACTATCAATCCCAACGGAAATACGATATGCTGTATCTTCGTCCAGCGCGGAAAAAGAAAGAAATAGGCACGGCTGGGAAAAGCTGAGAACATTCAAGCAGGATTGATGTATTGATAAGAAGAAATCTAGTCAAGGACTGGACAAGAATTTGGCCTTCTGGTCCTAGAAATGAGAAGTCTCATTAGACGCGTGAATCACGTGTAAATTTGAAGCCATGTCTGGATGTGAAGTTCCAGTGTCGTACACTGTATCAAAGAAAGGAGCGGTAGGGACCATATGCGAGTTTGTGGCTACATTGAAAAAAGGGGTGGTAGGGACCATATGCGAGTTTGTGGCTACATCGAAAAAAGGGGTGGTAGGGACCATATGCGGATCCGAAATGCAGAGATCATCTTGCACAGGTGGTGCAGTTTGCTGATTGAGATCTGTATTTCCACTATTTCCCACCTGTGCAAGGTCAATTCCAGTTTGAATGTCCTCATCAGAATTTCCAAATGTTGAAGCTACTGTTGCCAGCATCGGTAGACCACCCATCACAGCGGGATAAGCTACAGCTTCAGACACTGTTGCTGAAGCGCTGATAGAACGAGGATAGTCCATCGAGTTCGGGATTGGGAGAAGAATTATCCACCAGCATAGCGCTCGTTTGATTGGAAGACATGTTGTTCGTACGATGGCGCTTACTTCTTGACTGTTGCAGTGCTTCTAGATCGACTTCACCCGAATATGTAGAAACAATAGCCTCCAGTTTGATTTCAGTTAGTTTAGCCCAGTCAGATTTGAAGAATCACAACCACGCACCTTGACCATTATTATTCGACCCTGCAGAAGAATTTGGTGATTCTGAGCCGATAGATATTGAATCTGCACCCTGGATATTATCTGATTGAATGTTTGATAGTATACGGTCACTATCAGGTGCGCTTGCTAGGTGTGGGGATGCATTTTCTGTATGATGATGCTTTGTGCTTGACGACTACTGCTGTGGAACAGTGCAATTTGAATGTGATATTGAGTCAGTGACTATTTCTGATGAATTGTCCCCAGTTTCATCATCAGTCTCTATATCAGGTCATTAGCGTGGACAGCATTCAGGGAAGCTAATACGAACCTTCAGACAGTTCTTCTGTTGCATTAATTCCTGATGGTTCCTGGGTTCCATTTTCTGATGGTAATCCACTGCCGATGAGAGGCATAGTTTCGATTAGAGTGTGGGAAGAAAGCCCATTTTGAGGCCCATTCCGCAATAACTCAATGATCTTGTTCATTTGTTCTATCTCTATCTGTCAGATCTGATAAAGTCATCGCGACATATTATGAGTCGGCTTTACCATCATATGCAACTTCACACTCAGTAAGATAACCAGAGTTATTCTCAGCAAGGCGACAAAGGGGCTAGTAAATTGCTTGTCCGAGAAGCTCTTAAAGAGTTGAAAGGTTACCATATGAAATCCTTCTAAACAAGGCTGGTTGGAAAGCAGCCACAGTCGTCAATCCACGGCGAGTTGGATATAATCTCTCATTCACGACAATCTTCTCCCCTCGCTTTACACCCTCATATATAAATTTAGTGTCCTTAAACCCCTTATAGTGTAAAAATTGTTTAATTGTCCCATTGTGATCTTCGGATGCAGAATTAAGATCGCGCATCAAATTGTCCACTTGTGCTGAACCAGTTTCATGTCTCTCCCAGGCTTCTTTCTCCAGCGCCAACGATCGTTCGGCGAAGAAATGAAGATACTTTTCCTGTGATGTGGCCCTCTTTCCTTTTCTCATATCAGTAATCCGAGGGTCTTCGATGGTCCATGTCTGTCTCATCTGTTCTGATGCTGGTTTGTCAAGATATGTAGTAATATTGTGAGAACATTCCAAAAGGCTGTCCAGAAAAGCAACAGAGGATGGACTTTGAACAGAAGCCAGTTGTCTAGAAATTTGACCAATTGTCTTCTGTACACGAGCTCGCAGTTGAAGTAACCTCTCTGAAGAAGCAGACAACAATACCTCAAGAGCTGAAATGAGGGCCTGTTCCTCACTGCTTGAGCTTTCCATTTTTCACAGTTTTATGATTGTTAACCGGTTCAGCGAGGGCGCTGAATTCGGATGGCTAATTCACACCCAAGACTAGCTCCTTGGCGCTAAATATTATTCATCAATGGCTTGCACAGCATTGCTAGCTACATAAGTCTTGGAGGATAACTGTACGGAGTAGGATAGTTGAAGGTTGTATTGATAGAGCTATCTACAAAGAGCTTAATATAGTGGATGGTCACGTGATCTAGGGAGATCGTCACAGGCAATAGCCGCAACGGCCGCAACGGCCAACAGCCGGGCGGGCACTATATTAAGCTCTTTGTAGAGGTCATACACTATGAACGCCACCAACATCGTATTACTACTATAATTCTTATCATCATCAGCTTACTGCGTACAAGCTCGTCTAATACTCGCTTATGCTAGCTCTCTTGGCTCGCACATTTGTTTTACTATAAATAGAACATATTCATCCGTGGTGGGACTCAATGACATGTGACTTGTTCAGCAATCCAATAGCGACCAAAAAGATCCTGGCGTTGTTAGGCGTCAACACCTTTTAAGCTGAAGCTGAAATGACACACATAAATTGCCTAAGTGCAGTCATGGAACATACGTTTCGTCATGATCTACTCATCTACACGTAAGTATAAAGGAATAAAAAATATATGTAAAATATCATCCAATATTCGATCTCAATGTGAAACTTTGCAAAGAGCAATGAAGTGTTCAGAAGAAAGGTTCTCTGGACATAGAAAGCAAGGAAGGATGCATGCATGCCTAAAATTACCAAGGATAGTTTCTTAGCCAAGCCTTCTATTTCTTGTTGGATGATTGATATCAGAGATGCTAACTCCAATCAACAATTCCCAACCTGATTTGAAGAGAAGGATTGTGTGTTGCCTGCATACAACATGCTAAAAGACATGGGTCACTTGGCCTATCTCTAATGGCAAAGAGCAAGCCGCTTCATTGCAAACGCTATCACTGTGTCACTATTATAAGTAGTTACTACCATATCACCCAAACATTTGATCATTGTCAAGGTCATATGCACTAGCAAACTTCCAACTAAGCTTGCCTATAACAACCTTCTATCCCCAGATCTCTACAGTAAGAAATGGCCCCTTAACCAGAGTGCAAGCATAAGTCTAATGAATTTGAACGCTATGGTACAGGTATGAGCAATAAAAAGCGCCTATATATCTCCATTCATCACCGTGATGAAATGAGCCTTGAGGAGGGAATACGCGGAACGCACGGAGCATATCATTGGGGAGTTTTGTTAGCACCTAAGAAGTCCAACGGCCACGATAATACAGCATTCGGTTAGATAGTGAAACTAGGCGAGATCTAAACCCGGAAAATGATTGGTTCTTCAGAGTAAGAATAATGTGAATCCGTTGGATAGCGGGCGGTTAATCGGACGGGTAATGATCGGGAAAGTCCCTCCACAAATGACAGACAATGACCTTGAAAACATCTTTAAGGGTATTGCTCTGCCGGATAAGGAAACAGGAGAAAGGTGTCACCATTGAGTTTGAAGAGCCATATCCACTCTACAAAATGCATCGTTGATACCAAGCTTTGACGTCGAAAAATTCAAAATCTGGATATTGGATTGTGTCAAGCAATGCCTGGCCAACACTGATCCAAGAAATATCTGCGTTTATAAAGAGACAATCTAGTGGCATACAAGATTTCCTGGTTCATTGTAAAGTTCTCAAAGATGGTGTTCTGCCTCAAGCTCATCTGCATATGATATAGGAAGCTTATCTTTGATGCGCTCAGGCCATTCCAGCACCTTAAATGAAGTATAATACATCTTTGTTAGCTCCCAATACTCTGGGTACCAGCCTGAAAGTGCTCAGTCAACAACTCCCACAATTCTACCATCACAAATGATGATATTCCGCGGAGCTAAGTCTGCATGTGTGAAGAAAGTCTGATAATTATTGCTATGACAAGATGCAATATTTTCCCCAAAAATTGTAGCTGTGTTTTCTAACAGAACACCACCTCGTAGAAAAGTGTGGAAGCTAGAATGTGACTGAAATGGGCCAACTGGTCGGCCCCCAATCCGGTAATCAAGGATAGCATCACCTTGGGCCGATGTAACTACTCCTTCTTTTGGGGGAGTAAGTGTTCGAAGCTGAGTCAAGATAGCTATCATATCATTGACAATATTTTCCTTTTCCTTAGGTTCTAGGCGGCCGCGCATCCATAGAGTTTGAAGGTTTGTACCTGGAATGCGCTCCATTATTATATATATGCCCCCGGGTCCATTGTATGTATAGTGAATTCGAGGAACTGGAATTGTAGTGTGTCCTGAGATATAACAAAGCGCTTCAACCTCTGGCAGATTGCACGGCCCTTTGATAACATATTTCTGGCCAACTTTAACAACAGATGGACCTAGGGATCCAAAGGTTGACCGGGAGATTCTAAATAGAGTGTAAAGAATGATGCTTTTCAAGTCTAGTTTGGCATCAGCATTGGTTTCATTGTGTGATAAGGGTTCTGGGTGGGCAAACCTTGTAGTACCATCATTTAAAGCTTTGAGGGATCAATAAACGGAATAAACAGGTGATGATATATATGAAAGGCAGGTTTAATAAACCAGTGTTCTCTGAGATTTCCGTCGTGAAATAAAAAGGGATTTATACAGAGATTTACGTGGATAAGATTAATCTCCTGCCAAGGCTGCACTCCACATAGTTATGCACGGCGCTACACAAAACTCAACCCAGCCCAAAGCGAAGTGATAAGGCTTAGGGCTGGTGTGGAATGCGGAATTACAGTGGGGAGCTTATTAGAAATTAGGGGAGAGGAAGCTTAGCTGTTAACAGCTTAATTAGAAACTGGGGGGCCTAAACAAGGTAGCGGAGCGGAGCCTATCCTCACCGCCAGACGGACGGAGCTGTTTAAAAAAAGAAAAAAAAGAAAAAAACCTGTTCATTGGTTTATTTGAGTTTTTCACCCAGGTGAAGAAACTTTCTTTTTTTCTAATTCACAATTATTAAATATTATTACATTCTTTCTCTGTATTATTTTCTTCCCCTGTGTGTGTATTTCTTCTGTGCCTCTTTTGCCTCCTTTGACAAGATAAGGTATCTCTCTGTATTGTATTCTGTTTGGACTTTATCCCTTGGTTTTGATTGAGAAAGAGAGACAGAAAGAAAAGGTTTGTATTAATTTATTAATGTTACCTATCAACCACCATCGTCAACTTGCGACAGGAAAGCATCCCAATCCCAATCTCAATCCCCATAAAAACACCAGCACCAGCACCAACACCAGCATCTATCCTCACGACCCTCATCAATTGCTTGTCCTCCTCCAGAATATGCAACCCCCCCCCCCCCGGGTCTCTCTCCCTTACTCATTCCCAAACACAATACCGCCACCCTACCATACATAACCTCCGCCGCAGTCCACCAGATCAAATTGACCCGCTAACCCCCCCAAAAGCCTCATCTAGGCAAATAAAAAGAGTTTAGCATTACCCTTCGCAATGGCCTCCGACGACGGCCAGGTTCCGCTCCTCGAGCGCGCGGAAATGCCCGACACCACCCCTACAATCCCCAAGGAAACGGCGCGCGAAATCGCCCTGCTGGAGCGCGAGTTTGTGGAGGCGGAGGTTCAGGCGTGTACGTATAACATCTATCTACCTCATTTCGCGTATCGCCGTATCGCTAGGGAAAACATCATATATTAGTTATCGGCGTGCACGCATCAACATCTAAGAGCTGTATAATAATAATAATAATAATCATAATAATAATCATAATCTAATAACAAATAAATAAACCCCAAAAAAAAACACAGTCCGCGCCTCCATCCCACTCCTCCGCCCCCTCTACACCCGGCGCAATGCCCTCATAGCCAGCAAGCTCGCCGACGCCGACTTCTGGCCCCGTGTCTTTGCCTCCGAAATCGAAGCCTACCTCCTCCCCTCCGACGAAATGATCATCAGAGAGTGTCTGAAGAACTTCACCGTCGAGCGCGTCAGCGTCAACGAGGCCGGCGACGCCGGCGATCCCCGCGACGTCCGCTTCACCTTCGAGTTCGACACGAGCCCGGAGCGCAACGTGTGGTTCGGCGGCGATGGGAAGCTCGTCAAGGAGTTTTATTGGCGGAAGAGTATTGGAGTTTCGGAGAAGAGTGGGCGCAGGAAGGTGTGGGAGGGCCTTGTGTCGCAGCCTGTGCGGATCCCGTGGAGGAAGGCGGAGGGTGGATCCTACGAAGGGATTGTTGGATGCGGCGTGTAACCTTGCGGAGGCAGAGGCCAAGGTCGCTGCGGGGAAAAAGATTACGCCGGAGCAACGGTTGGATTTACCCGAGTATGAGAAGTTGGTGACGGAGGTGGCCAAGGTGGAGGCTCAGGCGGGTTTGCGTGCTGAGCGTGCTGAGCGTGCGGCGGATGGAGATGACGATGAGGATGAGGATGAGGATGAGGATGATCATGAGGATGGGGGTCCTGCTGATGTGAGCTTCTTTGCGTGGTTTGGGTATCGTGGACGGGATATCTCGGCTGAGGAGTCGGAGGAGGCCATGAAGGCTGATGAGGAATATTGGGGGAAGATCGCCCGGGGAGAGAAGGTTGAGGGTGACGAGGAGAAGGAGGGTGAGGGTGATGCTGCGTCAGGCGATGAATTCGAGGAGGATGAAGATGCTGACGACGACGACGAGGATGGGCTTATGGATGCTGAGATCTACCCCGAGGGTCATGAGCTTGCCATGTCGCTTTGTGACGAAGTCTGGGACAATGCGCTTAAGTATTACGGTATGTCTCAATTTGGATCGTTATTTCTTTTCTTCTATTTTGCTTCTCCGTTTTCTTGCTTATCTTTCCTGCTAACCGTTGCTTCTTGTGTGCAGTACAATCGCTCCAGGCGCCAGAGTTCGGTTCCGATATTGATTTCGACATGGACGGGATGGAAGACGACGACGATGATGATGAAGAGGAAACTGACAGACCTCGCAAGAAGGCCAAGACTTGAGCTCCTTTTTCCCCCTTTCGTTTCGCCCTTGTATCTTTTCTCTGTTGAACGAAAATGGTTTTGATGGGATGGTTTTGAGTTTTGCGTGGAAATTCATATTTTCGTTTCGTCTTTTTTTGTCTTTCGTTTTTGTTGAACAATGTATACCAAAGGAAGGGAGAGAAAAGAATCCCCATCTAACCCTCCGTTTCGAATTTGTAGTTATAGCACAATAACCAGAATTAATAGCAGTATCAACACCATAATTAACACCGCTATACAACAGCTCGACGCCGTATCTACCCAAACACGAAGAGTAAGAGTTAGCGAAGGATCTCTCCCATATTCTCATGCAAAAAGGTACCAAGCGGATAACGAATTCCATACCTTCATTCCGCCGTATAATCTTCCCCACCCGCCTAACCCCACTCTGCAATTTGCCCCCAACCCGCTCCGCCAACGTGTCCACCTCCTTCAGCATCTCCACCTGCTCCTCCAGCTCCCGCCCCATATCATCCGCCTGCTGCCGCAGCGTGCCCACCGTCTGAAACACCCCATCAAGTTGTTGGTCCTGCTCCGCCATCAGCTCCTGCTGCCGCTGCTCCTCGAATTCAGCATAGTAGTCTTCCCGCTCGCCGTCGTCGCCGAGCAGGTGATCATCATGGAGCTCGAAGTGGGAGGGGCTGGGCAGCGATCCTCCGCCGATCCCGGTTCCAGTGCCAGTGCCGGCATGTGTGCCTCTGAGAGCTGTAGTGCTGGCGGTAACCGTCCGCTCAAGCTCCGTGCGCATACCCTCGATCTCCCTCCCGACATCCTCGACCAACTGGCGCCGGCGGCCGACTTCCTCTAGCTCTAGGCCATAGCGGTATGGATCCTTCTCGACGACGCGCACGCTTTCGACTAGGTCTTCTAGATCTGCAGAGAGTTGGCGGAGGGTTGTTTCGAGCTCTGCGCGTGCTTGTTGGAGTTCGGGGGACGACGGCGATGTAGCTAGGGAGCGGATGCGGAGATAGGAGGAGAAGAGGGGGCGAATGTCGTTGAGGGCGGAGAGGACGTCCCTGTTGGTTTTGGGGGGATAGTATCAGTAGGTGACTGCTGGGATGATGGGGAAAGCGGGAGAAGGGGCAATAGAACGTACGCTTGGACTTGGAGGAAGGGGTCTGTTTCTGTTGAGGACGCCATAGGGGTGTGTGTGTATAGGTGTGTAAATGTTGTAAATGTCTAATGATGGATGCGACGTGGATGGATGTTGGTTTGTCTCATCGTCCATTTCATTGTTGCAGGCGGCGGTAGAGATCAGGCTTGGCGCCAAGCCCGGCGGTCAAGTGCGGAGTTTCAAAATTCTACTTCCGCCAATTGACTTTGTATTCTTTCTGCTGCTGCCCTGACATTATTCATTTAATTTTTCTTTCTCTTGATACACAATTGTGTAGCTGTCTATGGCTTCCTTCTTTTGTACAATCCTTCATGTATCTAATTGCTAGATGACTAAAGCCTCCCTCCAATTGAGGAAGGCCCACAATCCCGCGCCCTACTACCCCTTGTTCCCCTCTTAACTATGCGCCCCGAAAACCCCCTCCCCCTCTCCCCCTGCTGGCCGGACACCGACACCTACATATCCTCCCTTCTCACCTTCGCAACAACCTCTACCATATTCCGCAATTTATGTGGAGGCGTACATATCCTCGATTTCCTCACGCGCGTTCCAGATCTCTACACAACCGTCCTGCCCCAGGACTGGAGGGATTTCTTCGCGCACCATGATATCGGGGTTATCTTAGACTTGCTCTTGAGAGATGACATAACACCTCTTTTGCAGGATTTTACATCTCGGAATGAGCGGAGTGAAGACGAGGTTGGCGGCGGCTGGAGAAAAGGACCCGTTCGTCCCCCGGAGAGTCTGCTGCGATATATCCATGATATACGCCGCCATTGCCTCCAGCGCGAATTCACGCCGTTACCTATGCCAGCACCCGACAAAAATAAAAGTTACAATAGCAATAATGACAATATCACTAATAATAATGATAATGATAGTAATTTCAACACCATCCCCCGCCACATCGCCGTCGGCATGAAACCTAAAAAGGCGCACGAAGTCGCCCATTTCGCGCGCTACGTCGACGCACTATCCGACCACATCGAGCAGCAAACAGGCGGGGCTGAGCGCATCTCGCACATTGTCGATTTTGGCTCTGGGCAGAATTACCTTGGTAGGACGCTGGCGAGCCCTTTATATAACCGGCACATTATTGCTATTGAGCGCAAGCAGATTAATATTAGTGGCGCGATGGGGAAGGATGTGCTTGCGAAGTTTCAGAAGTCGAAGAAGGACAAAAAGAAAGTCAATGGCGATGTTGAAGTTGGGACGGAGTCTGATTCCGCGGTGTCGACGCCGCGGAGTGGGGAGCTGGCTCATGTTCAGGGTTGGAATGAGGATGGGTTTGATCCTGATACGGATGGATGTGCTACCTGCTATACTAAGCGGACTGCCCTTGACAAGGGGGCGGAGGAGGAAGACGGTTCCAAGGGGTCTATGGATTATATCGAACATGATATCCAAGACGGCTATCTCGAACCCCTAATCAGACACGTTGTGGAACCATCACCCCCTGCCTCAGCTCCAAACGATCAAAAGCCACAGGTGGAATGTACATGCACATATTCAAATTCGCTACCCGGCTCCAAAAATTATACCAACCCAGCCCGTGTGATGGTCATCTCCCTTCACTCCTGCGGCAACCTCGTTCACCACGGCATCCGGTCTCTCCTGCTCAATCCCTCCGTCACGGCCATCGCCATGATCGGCTGCTGCTACAACCTCATGACCGAACGCCTGGGCCCCGTAACCTACAAACTTCCCCTCCTCCGCTCTTTTCACCCGCGGCTCGAAACCACCTCCAAAGCCTACGACCCTCACGGCTTCCCCATGAGCAAGAAGCTGGAAACGTATCCGCACGAGGGCGGTAGTGGCATCAAGCTGAACATCACCGCGCGCATGATGGCTGTCCAGGCACCGTATAACTGGGGCCCGGAGGACAGCGAGAGTTTCTTCACGAGGCATTTTTTCCGCGCGCTGCTGCAACGGGTTCTGGTTGATTATGGCGTTGTTCCTGTTCCTGGAGTGGGTGTTCCAATTGGCGATGCACCCACGAAAGACGGGGTGAAGGGGGAGGTCCGCGGGACGCCGTTGATTGTCGGGTCAATGCGAAAGGCCGCGTTCGTCTCGTTTGCGGCGTATGCGCGAGCAGCTTTTGCCAAGTTATCGCGGGATGCGCATTATGGCCAGGCTATTCGGGAGAAGGTGTGGGGGCTGCCTGAGGAGGTGTTTGGGGAGTACGAGAAGCGGTATGTAGTCCATCGGAAGAATCTGAGCATCGTATGGAGTCTTATGGCGTTTAGTGCTGGGGTTGTGGAGTCCATGATTGTGGTGGATCGGTGGTTGTTTCTGCGTGAGCAAGCTGGAGTCAAGGAGGCGTGGGTAGAGGCGGTATTTGAGTATCAGCAAAGCCCGAGAAACTTGGTTGTTGTTGGGGTTAAAGGGTGATTGTGATATATTTATTAATCTCCTTTTGCTAGGAGACTATGTTACAGTTGTCTATCGACTATCGGGAGTTTGGCTGTCGAGTTGTACTGTGGATATATTACACTCTCCTCCCACGTCCAAGTCCAACCCAGGCCCAAGGTGATGGCCATGGCGATCACGCTGAGGCCAGCCTGCCTCTCATCCTCCTGTTTATTTACCCTACAAAAGTATTATCTCTCACCCCAATTACCACTTCTGGCTTCTAAGTGGTTGAGAGGAAATTCGCCTAAATGCACTGGGTGTGAGCAGCGTCAATTCATCTGCTAGCAGAGCTCCGTGCATGGGACCAGGACCAAAGTATGTGGTAGGCTCATTATCAACTTGATTGATCCCAAGGATATAATACCGAGACTACTATCTAGTCCTAGTACGGCAGTCTAGTGACAAATGTGACAAATGGGTATTTTATACTAGTGTTACAATGAGCACACATTAATGATACTGATTGTATTAGCAATCAAGATCTCTTCATTGGAAGGTTGTATGAAATAATGACTTCTATACCTGGGGTCACTCTATACCTGGGGTCACTCTATACCTAGGGGCTCTATACACAGGAGATCTCTATTCAGAGAGCCTCTATACCCATGGGACTCTATACACAGCGGAACTATGTATCTATATATCTAAGAGTCTCTATAGTTATACTTAGAGTGAGAAAGGGCTCTATATCTGAGAGAATTCTACAGAGTATGAGATCTGTGAGGTGAAGTGAATAGTTTGAATGTCAAGACTCAAGACTGACTAAATCTCTATATGTAGTGACACCCGCCCAGTGGCATTGTCCTAGCAATTGCTCCATCTACACATGATCTCTCACAAGCATCAAACACTTGCTTACACTCACTTCGCTGCTTACACTGCCCCTTCCTATCACTTCCACCCCCTACTTCTACCCCCCCCTACCACTTCCACTCTCTACTTCTACCCCCCCTACCCCCCCTACCCCCTCTACCACCAACTACTGCCTCTACCGCCCTGCAGCCCTCTCTATCACCATCACTGCCTCTATCACCCATCTCTATCACCTTTTCCACCCTCTAGTCTCTCTATCATCATCACTACCTCTACTGCTCTGCAGTCTCTTCTATCACTTTCACTATCTCTACTTCTCTCTTACTATCTCTACCACATTTTGATCACTGTGTTTATAGTATATACTGCTAAAAACTCTGTAATAAAATCTCATGTGATGTCATGTGAATTATGAATGAGATTCTTTTGAATAGCTGACTCTGCAGTCTGTACAGCTCTGATTAATCTGATAATGGTGATAGAGATGATACAGAGTGGAAGAGAGTAGTAGAAGAAGTAGAGGATGATAGTGGTAGAGAGGGTAGAGAGTGAAAGGGGTGGAAGGGGTGGTAAGAGGGGGTAGAGATAGAGAGTAGAAGTGGTAGAGAGGGTTGCGGGGGTTGCGGGGCGGTAGAGGCGGTGGTGATGGTAGTAGAGGGGGTAGAGGTGGTAAGGGGGGGGTAGAGGTACGGGGAGCTGCGGGGCGGTAGAGGCGGTGGTGGTGGTAGAGGGGGTAGAGGGTGGAAGGGGTGGTAAGAGAGGGGTAGAGGTAGAGGGGGGAAGTGGTAGAGAGGGCTGCGCAAGCAGCAAAGCGAGCGTAAGCGAGCATTTGATGCTTGTGTGAAATTAAGTCTTTACACTGAAAAAAACATTGAAGAAAGCTATTTGACACATTTGTCACTATAGACTGCTGTACTAACTACCCTACCTAGTCACATTTTCAGATTATGAATTTCATATTTTAATTCTAATATTATTTAAATAACTTTTAAATAACTATTATTTGAGTGTTAACTTATCTAAAATAGCTCTAAAATAAACTCTAAACTTTCTAAAAATAGTAATTTTATATCAAGAAATGTCAAGAATAGAATTAAATGAGATCAAATGAGATCAAATGAGATCAAATAAGATCACTTTCTTAATATTTCTCAGCTGATCTCATTTTGTGCTTAAAAATGATAACTCTTCAAATATATACATTAACTGGTGATTATTTTTCATGTTTTATGATTGATCAGTCCCAGCAGGATTCACATCAAGAAATACATAGAACCAGATCAACTGAGATTAAACATGAAATGCATGGTTCTAGCAGCTAGTCTAAGAACAACTGACTTGGCTAACAAAGCTGCTGGAGATCTTGGTTTATTCGTCAGTCTTCCCTGCGATGGTCAGGAGTTCAATCGAGAGAAGTTGATGGCTGGTGAGACTGGCCATTGCTCAAGGAGGTGAGCCATGGTTACATATATATCTCGCTGAAGTGAATGCACTGCAATCATCTGATTGATGCTTCATGAAGAGGTGGACAGACGGACTACTCCTAAGGCAGTCAATGTCCGCCTGGCGATATGGAGGTTATATGGTCATTCCATTTCTCCATCCTATAATATATTATACATGGCGATGGCTGCGATTTGTATAGGGCAATCCCTCTTCTCTGCGCCAGATGTTCATGCCATGCCATGCCATGTATGAAGCAGGAGTGAATCGAGGCTGCTTCGACCTCCCACGGCTCTTTCCCTCCTGTCCGAGTCCAGGGAATCCTATATATTCCTCTCCTTGTCCTCCTTGTCCTCTTTGTCCCTCCTTTTCTTCATCTCCTTCTTCTTCTCCTTGTCCTCCTCTTCTACATCCTCTCCGCCCTCTCTATCTTATATATCCCAGTCTCTACTGTCTTTGTTTCAGATTATATCCAGTGAATAACTTCCTTTACACCCGCTATTCACGTATCAAACACATAACCACCTATCTCTTCTAAACTCTTAGCACCCGTTTAAGTCCTCGTATCCTCTAGCAGGCAGCAGCAACAATCATGACCCTTATCTCAATCAACGGCAATCAGCTTGACCCGCTCGCGCAGTCCCGGCAGCTGAGGGACCTTGGCTTGCAGGCAGAAAATGCTTCCAAATCAGACTACATCCTCATCCAGGCAGGGCCTGACCGTCTGTCAGAGAATCAGCGCCGCGTGCTTAAGGACTTAGGTGTAGATATCAAAGAATACGTCTCTAAGGATACATACCTTTGCAGCTACAAGGGTGTGGACCTAACGGAGATCCGTTCGCTAGACTTCGTCTTTTGGGCCAATACCTACTTGGAACAGTTTGTTGTACAGTCGTGTCTCAAGTCAAACCCACCGCGTTCCCAACCTATCTCAGCTTTCACCGCTACCCCCAAGACCAGTCGCCTCCAATTGGTCGATATCATCATGCACCACGATGTCGATGCGACGGACGATGCTGTCAAAGCGGCAGTTGCAAGGGCTGCTCGTGCTGATTTGAAGTCTCTTAAAGCTTCTGCAAGGAGCATCCGTATTCACCTGCAGCAACAGTATCTCGATGATGTAGCCGCCATCGACGCCGTCTACCTCATTCAGCAGGTCCATCCCTTCGTTCTTTGGAACAACAAAGCCTGGGAGATCCTAGACTGTGACACCACTAACATGTCTGTCCATGTAAGCGAATATCTGGGTGAGGGCCAGGTCGTCGCGGCCGCTGACACCGGATTCGATATTGGCAAAACGGATGATACTCATCCTGCTTTCACTGGCAGGGTCAAGCACCTTTACGCTCTGGGGAGACCAAATGCAACTGACGACCCAGACGGACATGGCACCCATGTTGCCGGCTCCATTCTTGGGGATGGCGACTCCCCTTCTATGGGTGGGAAGATTACGGCCGCTGCACCCAAAGCCCAGCTTGTAATACAATCGGTCCTCGATAGTTCTAATGGCTTGGGTGGCATCCCGTCAGATTTGAGTGAGCTTTTTATCGTTCCGTACGAAGAACACGGCGCACGCATACACACCAACTCTTGGGGGTCGTCCTCTCTATTTGGCCAGATTCCCTACGATGTGTCAGCTTCGCAGGTGGACAAGTTCATCTGGGAGCATCCTGATATGCTCATCCTTTTTGCTGCTGGTAACGAGGGTTCAGACCGCAACTTCGACGGCGTCATCGACCTCAGCCAGATTGGGTCACAGGCAGCGGCGAAGAACATCCTCACTGTTGGTGCGAGCGAAAATAATCGTCCTGATATCGGCGTCCAATACGGCTTTCGTTGGCCATCAAGCCCTTTCCGTACTGACCTAATGGCCGACAATCCTGCTGGAATGGCAGCATTTAGCAGCCGTGGGCCTACCGTAGAGGGGCGTTGCAAGCCTGATGTTGTCGCCCCTGGAACTGCCGTCTTGTCTTCTCTCTCTCGAAATGCCCAGGCCGACTCTCAATATGGAGAAAGCCTTGATCCACAGTGGTGGTTCCTTGCGGGCACAAGTATGGCAACTCCCCTGGTTGCTGGTTGTGCTGCAGTTGTGCGCGAATCTCTTGTCAAGAACGGCACACCTAATCCTAGCGCCGCGCTTGTGAAAGCTCTTCTTATCAATGGTGCAGTTGAGCTTGTCGGGCAGTATGACCCCAGCGAAGCAGGCCCGTCCCCGAACAATAACTCCGGGTTTGGCTTGGTTAATCTCAGAAACTCCATTATTTTACCCAATCAGGAGGACGGAGGCTTCTACGAAGGAGGTCCCTTGGAGCAGGGTCAGGGCCTAGACAAACCTATCACCGTCAACATTCCTCCAGGTACATCGGCAGAAGGTTCGGTGCTGAAGGTAACACTCGTATGGTCCGATCCACCAGGTGCAGAGCTTCAAAACGACTTGGATCTGCTCGTGAGAACTGCTAATGGCCAAGAGCGTCACGGAAATATGGGCGAGGAGACTGATTTCGATAGAGTTAACAACGTCGAGCAAGTTACGTGGACCAACATTCCAGACGGAGAAGCACAAATCATCGTAAGCGCATTCCGCATCACCCGTGATGACGCCCCTCAGCCATACGCCGTGGTATGGAGCATCAACCGGCTCCTCAAGCCTACGGCCGCAGGAGGAGATAAAGCAAGCTGAAACGATGAACCTTCCCTTCCTTCATCCCCTATTAAACCTATATTGTTACGTCTGAATTTCTTGCAGATGCTTTGCACATGATCAAACCACACTCCTTAATTAACCTAGGACAGAACCCTAAAATGGAGAAGAAAAAAAAGGGGAAGAAAAAGAGAGAAAACTGGCAAAAATGGAACCGAAAACTCGAAGCTTTCTCCGTTAGGGAAGACAACTTTAAGAGCCCCAGTTTGTTTTATATCTCAGGAATGGAAATTTGAATCAATTAATTGCCTTCTCGACTAATTGATGTACTGTGTAGCTGTGCAACTGCCAATCTTGAGGTATTTCAATTAGTTGTAGGCCATGGCGACCATCAGCCGCAAAATAAGCTCTCTTGTAGACGGGACTCGGTGATCTGCAATCAGATATGATGAACTAAATCTGAAACTTGACAGCACATGGTAAACAAATAGGCCTCTGCTCCTCTCCCTATTGTTTAAATAAAGTGTCAGAGAACATAAAGACGAGAAAGCTTGGTTGTATGAAAGTAGCTCTTGACGAGATCTACAGCGCAAGGGTCACGTGACATATAAGGACAGAAGCTGGTTTTAAAAGTATTTCACATGAAAATAAAAACATATTAACGTATATTAATGACACAGGGCATCTAGAATACATTGTCTGAGCTAGCTGTGGGTAACTATCAGAAAATTAATAAATGTATCGGGGTAGTTAGAACGGGGGAGGTAGACGTGTGAAGGGACGCCAGAGAGTTTAAAAAAATCCCTCCCTACCTAAGGGAAAAAAAAAAAAAAAAAAAAAAAAAAAAAAAAAAGGGAAAGGAAAAGGAGAAAGAAGAAAGGAGAAAGGAGAAAGAAGAAAGGAGAAAGGAGAAAGAAGAAAGGAGAAAGGAGAAAGAAGAAAGGAGAAAGGAGAAAAGAAACCGAAGAATAGAGAAAAAAGAAACATGCATGACAGCTCTGGGTCCCCAACACCTCTTCCCGTCCCGTTCCGTTGAACAATTGAGTAATATGGAGAGTGTGAAGTGAAATAGTTGAATGGTATTAGCGGGTGTGCTAAATGTAGACGTTGAATGCCCCCTATTAATAAGATATGTTTGTATCCATCTATACAAAACAACACATAAATATATATATACATAGACCAACCGGCCATTGGTTCTCTGGCCCCGTGCTGCCCCTTCCCCCTGTCTTAGGCTGTAATGTTGTAGGCATCATGGTACAAAGATTATGAAACTTCGGGATTTTCTTTTTTTAGCTCTATCGGGGATCCATTCGTTGGGAGGAGACAAGGGGGGGGGAGGGAGGGAGAAGAAGGCTAACGATTTTCAGCTTTTTTTTTTTTTTTTTTTTTTTTTTTTTTTTGGGTTATTATTTCAAGTGCCGCCTGGGGAAATGTCCGGTCCATGTAGTAGCGGAATTGGTTCGTGGGTACAGCCCGCTCATTTTACTTGGGAGGGTTTGAGGAGGCGCAATTGGAGGTCAACTAGGGGCTTGTTATCTATTTCCTGCGCCTTGATAAGTGTTGGGGGGATTGTAGATGTGTGGCGTGCCAGCATCATTTCCGAAGTCATGTTATTGTTTAATGTAGATTGCGAGATCAATCAGTCCCAACGTATTTAAACCAGTTTGGTCGGCAATCTTCGAGCTGGAGGAAAGGTTCCCCGGCGTAAAACTTTCCCGGAGTGCAGCCTTTGCATTTTGGAGAGTTCGGGCAGTTGAAGTATGGGACATGTTGGTATCCGATGTCACGGAACCTAAATAAAAAAGTGATGGTTAGGATAAGGAATTGACATTGTGGTGGAATCGGGGCACAGAGCGGAATAAAAAGGGTTAACAAACCAATGAATTTTACTCTTGTCCTCAAATAGGCCTAGGCCGATAGAATGTACTGGTGCATCGCCCCATCTTTCGTAGAAGAAGCCTCCGGCACGATCCAAATGGTTAAAATAATCCTCATAAGCCGGGCTTCGATAGAACGACATATCCGCGATTTCGAAGTTAGACCAAAAGTGGCAAGTGGAGTACCCGTTTGCGTCCTTATTATGTTGTGGTCTTTGCTTATTGTCCACCAGCCAGTCCATTGCGTTGTTTGGATGTAGGTGATTGGGGTGCGCTTCGAGGAACTTAAGCGTCTGCGGCCATAGAGTAGCAATACTCTCAGGAGCATCATAGAGGTTGATGGTGAAGCCATAGGTTTTGTTGTGGTCTTGCATGTAGCGGAACACATCGTAGTCGACGTCGCAGAAGAAATGGACCTTGGGTTCGACTCTCCAATAGTACTGCACATTCGCCAAGGCTGGGTGTTTGTAGAACATGCCGCTGTTCCAGCGGCACATTTGATGGTATGACATCAGGTTGCTGTATTGAATATTCTTCTCTTTGAGGATTTTGGAGGATTCTTCGTAGAGCTCCATACTAATAAAGTCGGGTACGTCCCAGTGCTCCTTTGGAATTAACTCTGGGTAAATGAAACAAAATTAGAGTGCCATCACGGTTGACAAGGAAGCTCAACCGCATTCATCCATACCGTAATTGCATTTTGCCTTTGTTTCAGCTTGTGTTCGAGTCTTGAACTCTTCCGTAAACTCTTTATCGTTAAAAAAAGTCCACGGATAATTGAACTTGCTATTCCAAGTCCTTTCCAAATCCCTCATCGTCATTATTAACTCGTCCAATTCTTCGTTTCGAACCAGGGCTAGGAGCGTCGCGTTGATGCGAGCGGAATTGGGGTTGTCGGGCGCATAGGCATCATCTTTTGCCCGCCAAAGAGGCTCAGGAGGCTCTCCTGTAGCTGTAGATATCGTCAATACATATTGCATTAGGATGAGAGGAGAAGGCAAATTACTCACGATCCAAAAGAGGCTCCCTCTGGAGTCCATTATCGTATTGCCCCTTTCTTCCAGTTAGCAACGGGGGCGATTTCGAAACCTGGAAGATGAGAAATAGAGCAAGAACAAAGCAGGCAGCTAAGAGCAAACGAAGCGGTCGTGCGAGGCCCATACTGCTATTATGCGCATGGCCGTGAACAGCATAAAGAGAGATAAAATGTTTTTCTCACAGCTGAACAAAGATCGCCCCTGGTTGTTCATGTAGTTAAAAATAGGATTTGGCCGCGATGATGCTGCCAGCTGCCAGGCTGCTGAGTCAGCGCGCCCAGGGCGGCCGATGCATAATATCAGACCTCAGGGGATTGAAACGCGTTGTTGTTGGAGTATCGAACGAAGTATGGTGTCAGAGTACTTGTTCTATAGCATATTATGGGGAAACATGAACAAGTAGACGCGTAACTGTGCATTTTCCGCCGACTACTGGTGTCTGAGAAACGTATTTGAGATTGCCTATGTAAGACAAGAAATGGCTCATTCAGCGAATGTCAGCGCTCTGACGGACGAGCTTATTATCATAATTACGAACACGCCAGACAAGGCGAGTATTTGTGTCAATTGTTAATAGTTTTTTCTGCTGCTGACTTTTGTACTAGGGCAGCCGTCGTTTCCACAGGTTGAAATCTCTCGTTGAGAGGACTCTGAAGCAGAACAATGCTGGAAGAACAGACCATCTGGAGGTTGCGAAGCGGCTTGATGGTCTCCAAGAAAAGTTTCAAGTTTTAGACAATGATGCTCTTTCCGACGCGCTTCATTCGCGACTGGAAGAGCTGAATCAGAGGAGGATCCACCGGGCCCCTGAAGCCTTGTCTTTACTCCTAGAACTCTCAGATAGGCCAGCAGTACATTCCACCATCGAGGACTTGGACTTACTTCGACGACCAGCTTCACCACCTCCTTTAACATGGAGTGATATTTATGCATCTGACCCTCTAAGTGACGAGGAAGAGATTTGGCAGGATATTGATTATGCTGCACTTACCTCCGGTGACGATCTATCAAGCACATCGAGCGGCGTATCTATCCCCCGAATTGTTCCACAGCGGTCCAAAGTTCCCCTGGATGATTTTAAGACTCCAGATACTTGCTTCTTACCAGTTGAAGATGAGATATTGCTCTCACGCATTCAGGATCTTGAGCTCTGGAGAAATAGGGTCGCGCAAACTAATCGACCGACGAACGATGATGACTTGTATCTTACAGAGTTACAAGTAATAAGAGAGACGATATTTATGCTTCAGGGCCTCCCCACCACCTTATTCTGGTATTTAGACGACAGCGTTGAGGTTGATCGAAGATTTAGATTGCGTCATGCATCACCAATCGCCTTTGGGAACTTGCTTCGCTCATTTAGTGTCCTAGGAGCCCAATTACATGTTATTCGGCGATTTGCACAGCATCCCCAGAAGCTTCAATTTATGCAGATGTTTCAGCGTGAGGTGGAATTTCACTTGTGTAGATTTAACAAAGACCTATCGAATATGGAAGCAGAACACTCTGGAACAGCTGAGTCTTCTACGCCGAGTTTGATTCGACTCTTCTCAAATGTGTACGAGGAAACGTCTCTGCTACGAGAACTGTCAGATCTCATCAACAAACTAGCGGATCAGTCGCCAAATGAGGCGTTCCAATGCCTAGATCTGCTCTATGATCTTGTTTGTTCGAAACAGGCATGCGGAGACGATACAACTTTCCAGCATGTGGCTAAGATATTTTTCAAATGCTTCGAAGTCTACGCAAGGCCAATAAGACTGTGGATAGAAAAAGGACAGCTGGACAAGACTTTGGGTACATTTTTTGTCTCTGACTCGGGAAAGCAACTCACCGACCTGAGAACACTCTGGCACGAATGGTTTGTACTGGATGAGGTTCATGGACGACTTTATGCGCCTGATTTTCTACGTCCTGCGGCCAAGAAGATTTTTACCACTGGCAAAAGTATGATATTCATTCGCCGCCTTGGCTTGGATCCAGATGTTTTAGAGACTCCAAAATGTATGAACATTTCATATGAGAATATCTGTTCATCCGACCACTTCTCCCCCTTGCTACCGTTCTCAGTACTGCTAGAGTACTCATTCGATCGACTCATTGACTCCAACCACACTTTTGCTTCGAACTTGCTTCGGAAACAACTTGACGAGCAGTGTGGCCTGTGGATTTCGTTGGAGGCGCTTGAATACATATACCTAGGAAAGGATATGTCACTTTCCTCGATAATCGATCACGAAGTATTCGACTTGATCGATAAAGGAATTCAGTCCTGGAATGATAGGTTCTTCCTTACCGAGCTAGCACAAGGAACATTCGGTAGCCTAGCATGCATCGACCCCAGTCGCCTCATAATCAGATCGAAGCAGATCGGGCTACAGGATTTTGAATATCACTGTCGCTCCGCCCAGATCTTGAAGGCGATCGCCATGGACTATATTCTTCCATGGCCAGTGGCTAATATCATCACAAAACAGTCGCTTTCGGCATATAGACGTGTGTCAACCTTCCTAATGCAAATACGACGAGCCAAGTACGTCGTGGAGCGACAGCGTCTCCTGAGATCGCTACATTCCGAGACCGAAAGCGAGAAGAAAGACGATATCCTCGGGTATAGCATTCGACACCACCTCCTCTGGCTTCTAAACGTCCTCTACGCACATCTCACACAGCTTGTCATCTGCACGTCGACTACAATCATGAAGGAAGCGCTATCGAAAGCGAAAGATGTAGATGGGATGATAGCCGCTCACGAATCGTACACCTCGTCATTGGAAGACCAATGCCTCCTGTCCCCCAATCTCACTCCTATTTACCAAGCGGTCATATCCCTTCTTGACCTGTGCATACACTTCTCTGACATTCAAATCTCACGTCACGGCGACAACCAATTCGACCAGGGAAACAGGAAATCATTCCATTCGTCCTCCGGGCGTCGATACAGGACTAGTGGTAGTCTGCATCAGCGGCGTCGTCGTTCACGGTCCCGAGAGATTGAATCTAGCTCTGTTGCAGATGATGATAGCGTAGATGATGCTGATGATAGCATGATGGACGAGGGAAATTTAACCAGTGTCTCCTTTATTGAGACCTCATATAGGAAACGATTAATAGGCGTTAGGGATAAATTCGAACATCTATGTTCGTTCATTACGGCAGGGTTGCGGGGAATGGGACGGGTGGATGGCCACAATAGTTGGGAGATTCTCGCAGAGAAATTAGAGTGGAGGAAGAGTAGAGGTGGACATGTATGATGAGTTGTCGAAGATAGAGTTAGAGGCATCCTATGTCCGCCTGGCAAATGCCACGAGCCAGGTTGATTACTACATATATTGTACGCCCTATAATTATCGATACCGGGGCTTCTGATCTAAGCTATCCTGAAATACTCGTGCCAAATACCCGAAGAGCTAGCTTAACGAGATCCGCGTCCTTATATACAATCAAAACTCGAGTCTGTTTATATGTTTTCTATAATTACCTAGTATGAATATGAACATGCGACTCTCGGTGCTCAACATGCAAAAGAAATAGAGAGGTGCGTAAGAAAGAAGCCACAAGTAGGGCGGTAGTAGATGGGGAACATGACAATTGGTACACTTCGTAGCCAAGAATGGAACAGCAGAATATATCAGGGTAACTTTATAACTGGAACAAACCTAGGTCACGAGAGATGTAATGACAATCAAAAAGAAGCAGCTTTTAGAGTAATCTAACCAACCCATCTTCTTGCACTGTAAAACATCCGGCCCCAGGGACCGATATTGCCCCATTCCTCGACCTTTTCGGGGGGTATCCAACTTCCAACGCCTGCCATTATAGTCCGCTCAGGGTGCGGCATTAGCGCCAAGACCTTACCATCAGGCGTTCGGACTCCAGCTATACCTTCTGGGCTACCATTAGGGTTGAACGGGTATTTCGTTGTAGGTTTTAGCGAGGAGTTATCGACGTAGCGGATCGGTGCGAGATTCTGTTTCACAAGGCTCTCCGCGTTTGAGCTGGAGTTCGCGAACGATGCCCGGCCTTCGCCATGGGCGACGGCGATGGGCAAGCTAGAACCGTGCATCCCGTGGAGAAAAACACTGGGTGTTGCCGGGTCCGGATCGCTGATGCGGACCATGCAGACGCGGCCTTCGTACTGTTCACTCGCGTTTCGTTCAAAGCTAGGCCAGTCCTGTGCGCCTGGGATGAGTTCCTTGAGACGACTAAGGAACTGGCAGCCGTTGCAGACGCCAAGGGTAAAGGTATCTGAGCGCTGGAAGAAAGATTGGAATTCGTTGCGGGTGTCTTTATGCAGGAGTACTGATTTAGACCAGCCCTGGCCGGCACCGAGGACATCACCATATGAGAACCCTCCGCAAGCTGCGAGGCCGACAAAGGATGAGAGAGAAACTTGTCCGGAAATAATATCTGTCATGTGCACGTCAACGGCAGTAAAGCCGGCCATGTTGAAAGCGAAGGCCATTTCAGCTTGGCCGTTAACGCCCTGTTCACGAAGGATCGCAACCCGTGGTTTGGCGGAGAAGGGGGAGAAGAGAGAAGTAAGGTTGGTTATCAGGGGCAACACGGTTTCCTTGGGGTCAAAAGAGAGGTTGTATGATAGGCCCCGATCTCCGTCGTCAAGGATATTTGCGTACTCTTGCTCTGCGGCTGCGGGATTGTCTCGGAGTCGTTGCATTTGGTGGGATGTGTTGGCCCATGCCTGTTGAAGATTGGCACGAGAATTCCGATAGATCGGGACCACCGAACTGTGGTAAATTACAAGATCTTGATCAGATTTGATGGGTACCTCACCGATTCGGAATATCAAGCCAGGTGGAGGGCCACAGGTTGCAAAGCACTTTTTGAAAAGATTCTCATGCTCTTTGCGCACCTGGAACACAGCGCCAAGCTCCTCGTTGAAGAGAGTCTCGAGAACATGACGAGTATCTGAACTTTGACATATACCATCGAGCATAATGTGTAGCCCACATCTACCGGCAAACATCATTTCAGCGAGAGTTGTGAAGAGACCGCCATCTGATCGATCGTGGTAGGCAAGGACGATACCGCGCTCTTGAAGTTGTTGGATAGCGTCGAAGAAGTCTTTCAGAAGCTGGACTTCGTGAACATCGGGGCATTGATTTCCTACTTGTCCGAACACCTGCGCTAGTGAGGACCCCCCAAGAGCCTTGCGACCGAATGAGAGGTCAACAAACAGAAGAACAGTCTCGCCCACCTCCTCACGTCTGCGGAGTGCTGGTGTCCATGTTTTACGTATGTCGCCAACAGGCGCAAACGCTGAGATAACCACGGACAACGGGGCAGTAACTTCACGTGGTTCTTGAGACTTTTCATCTTTCCATTTCATCTTCATTGACATTGAGTCCTTCCCAACAGGAATACTAATACGTAGCTGTGGACATAGTCCCATCCCAATGGCTTCGACAGCTTCGTATATGGCCGTACCTTCTCCAGGATGGCTTGCCGCTGACATCCAATTGGCCGAGAGCTTGATACGGGTCAATTGGCCAAGCACATCAGCGGCGGCAATGTTCATAAGTGATTCTGCAACAGCCATTCTTGCAGAAGCAGCAGGTGAAATTAAGGCCAGGGTTGGTTTCTCTCCTATAGCCATAGCCTCACCAGTTTTCATTCCCTGCAGCAATGATGTTGCCGTAACAGAGACATCTGACACAGGAACTTGCCAAGGTCCAACCATTTGATCTCTCGCCGTCAGTCCACCCACGGTTCTATCGCCAATGGTGATGAGGAACGATTTCGAACCAACAGCCGGTAGATTGAGGACTCTAGTGACAGCTTCGCTAAACAATCCATCCTTAGGGAGGTTGGGCAGATAGGTTTTAAGGCTAGAGTCGAAGGGAGGAAGAGGAAGTTGTCTAGATGTAACGTTCCTCGTCATTTTCGGTGGTTTTCCGAAGAGTACGGAAAGGGGGAGGTCGATTGGGTCAGGTTGGTCTTTAGAATCTCGGTCAAGAAGAATTAGCCTCCTGTCTTCTTCAGGTTGACCCAGTCCGCGGCCAACAACTGAATAACCGCAACGTTCCCGTTTCGCGATCGCCACGAATTTATTCATGCTTTCCTCTCCTACAGCCATTACATATCGCTCTTGCGCTTCACAGCACCATATCTGCATAGGACTCATCCCTTTATCTGCATTGTCAATCTCACGGAGCTCAAATTTTGCTCCCAGCCCAGCATCATGAATAAGTTCAGGTAAAGCATTAGATAGGCCTCCTGCTCCGACATCATGGATGAACTTAATGGGGTTATCGGCTCCCATAGCCGCGCAGGCGTTAATGACTTCCTGTGCTCTCCGTTGGACTTCTGCATTTCCTCTCTGGACGCTAGCAAAATCTAAATCTGCGGAGCCTTCTCCAGATGCAATACTGGAAGCTGCACCTCCACCCAAACCGATGAGCATGGCCGGTCCGCCAAGGACCACCAAATATGAACCCGGTTTGACAGTGTGTGGATTTTTGAGTGCGTGCTGTGGCCGGACAGTCCCAACGCCACCAGCAATCATAATGGGTTTATGATAGCCTCGGAGCTCCGATTCTCCATCCCCGATATCGATTTTGGTGAGGAAGGTTCGGAAGTAGCCGGTTGTACACGGTCTTCCAAACTCGTTGTTGAATGCAGCACTGCCGATCGGAGCCTCAAGCATAATATCCAAACTGCTTGCGATATGATTGGGCTTTCCAACATCGAGTTCCCAAGGTTGTCTATGCCCTGGAATCAATAGATCCGAAACGCAGAAACCACTAAGACCGGCTTTCGGCTTCGAACCTCTGCCAACAGCTCCTTCATCACGAATTTCACCTCCAGATCCAGTTGCGGCACCAGGGTAGGGTGAGACCGCGGTGGGGTGGTTGTGCGTTTCGACTTTGGCCAAGTAATGAACCTGCTCTTTTGTCTGAGTCCATTCTCCGTTCACCGGGCTAGGGGCCCAATAACTGGCTATTTCTCCTTCTAGAACAGCAGCATTGTCGCTATATGCACTAATAGTGTGCTCCGGGGTTTTTTTGTGGGTGTTTCTGATCATACCAAATAGAGTATGGGGTTTCTCCTCGCCGTCAATGATCCAGGTAGCATTGAATTGTTTATGGCGACAATGCTCAGAATTTACTTGCGCGAACATAAACAGCTCGACGTCGGTGGGAGGGCGACCAACTGGGCCATCAGGCGCATACGCATCGACCAGGTAGTCGATTTCGGATTGGTCCAATGCCAAGCCAAGTCGGGTGTTTGCTTTTTGTAGAACCTCAACCGGGGATTTGCCCTCTCCATAAAGGGGTATCGTTTCAAGGGGAAGAGGTTGATGCTCCGAGAACATGAGGTGAAGATCTGGTTCATCTTTCGAAATGATTTGAGTCATTCGATCATGAAGAACGTCCAACGCAGCCTTATCCAAGTCTTCGCGTCCTTCAGCAAGCAGGCACGAGATTCGCAAGCCGCGCTCAATGCGCTTGACGCTACTTTTAAGGCCACAAACATGGGATATCCCGGTAGCTTGGGAACTCCATGGGGATATGGTGCCGGTTCGTGGAGTAACGTGATAAACTGCGAATGGTCCATCTGTTGACTCGAACGAGGCAGGAACGCCCACAATATCTCCGTAATGTAGAAGCTGTTCTAGCACCGCGCGCTCGCTTTGCTGTAAATCCCCAGCAGCATGAACATAATGAACCCACTGGGCCCGCACCTCCTTCACCCCGATGCTTTCCGCAATGGAGCGGCTCCGGGATTGAGAAAAGGCAATTGAGCCCGGGATTGTGAGATAGGTCGACTGCGAGGAAGTCATTGTGAATGCCAGTCAATGCAGATGGGTATCTGAGCAAAGTGCAGCAGCTCAAAATTCATGTATTGTTAGCCGATGTGGGATGCCAAAGACACACTCGGTGCAATTTGACTCACTTGGACGAGCTAGCGAGAAGCTGGGTTCGATAGGGGGATACCCCGAGCCAAGGGCTTTTGTAAAGAAGGGATTCGCGCTATCTAAACATCTGGAAACCCGCCATCAGCAATATCAACTCTCCAGTTGCTGTTCCTATGAGTCGGTGTGCGCAAAATGTTCCCCGCCAAGCGCGAGAATTTGTCCGTGATGGGTCACGTGGTGATAGGCTTTTGGCCCCTCATTAGCGATGAGTCAGCCAGGAAAAATATAAGTCACATGACTATTGTTAACCTTAGAAACAAAGACGAAGTCATACAGCCAACCAACTGCTCGCTGGAGTGTCAACACGGAATCGCTGCTGTTGGCGTTGTGGTGGGATGGGGCCCAGTATAACTAACGGATTACAAATGAGATCTCAATTTCATGTGATGTTGATAAGTTACTGAACTCAACCCGCTGCTTCATTCATCTTCTTCTGGCTCTTTCGCAGTAGCTATTTGAATCTGCATTCGTCTTGAGGAACCTTGTCCGGCTGGACAAGAGTGAGTTCCCAGAAACATTCCTAGACTTTGCGGACTCCAAAATACGACTTGTTTCTGGCAAAACTTTTATCTCTTACGAGCGAGTTGTCTTTCCTGGTCAGCTACCTAGGTCCTTAGTCTGTTGATCATGTGATGATCTCTTTCATAAACCCGGTACAAGGGAGGGGAGACGAGCGCTTTTGTTCAAGAAAAAAATGCCGTGGAAAGTACGAGGAAGAAAAAGTACTCATATTGAAGTTTCGATTGCCAAACCTGGTATTCCCTCATTCTGCGCGCTTGCTTGGCGCTCGAGAGAGTCGAATCGCGCAATCAGCGAAGTAGCTCAAGCTTACAGCGAACGACTTACCCAAACACCTTCTAACATCGGTTCCTGGGCTGTTTGATCCGGAGAGATCCAGCTTTCATTTGTATGTCCACCGGACACCGGAAGAAGGACCAGTCCAGCTGCCCAGGTGGCGCGCCCTACCTTACTAGGTCCCGTCGACGACCCGGGCTTTTTAAATATTGCGCGAGGAATACGTATGTACTGTACTGTACATGCACATGCCAGTTGGATACATCGGCATGTAGCTGATAGGTGTAAAATAGTTTTAAACACTCGAGAAGTTGCTAATTTGCTAATTATTTATTCCCACCACATTCATTCTGTTAGATTTTCGATTTCTCAACGGCAACTGAAGTCTTTCTTGATATTTCGTTCGTAGCAGCAGACTATAACATTCTCGAGCCGACACCAAAGAAAACATTCAAGCCTGGTTTGCCCTCTGAAAGCTATTGAATCCGACATCATTAGCTTTGAACCCCTTGCTTTGTTCTCCTATTTACACCTGATGTTGTAAAGCCACATTCTTGAGCCCCTTTACGCAGCGTAAACTACTCGAACTCAGGAGTTGGCTACCTAATCATCAAAGAAAAAGAAACTGACTCTCTAATACATGATGCTTACTTTATCTTCCAACCAACAGTAATCAAGCTTCATACACTCGCAAACATAATAGACTGGAGTTCAACCCTTCTCTGTATTAATGGGGCCCCGAACAGTTCCCGAGATTGCACCGAGCGCCGACAGAGAAACACCTACACCTCTACGTTTCCTACAATGCTTTATATATCCAATGACTACTAAACAAGCATAAAAACTTGTATTTGCTTCATTTAGGTATATGGCACTATCTCGTGCCTGTTCCCACAATGAAGTCACCGATACCGCCGAGGTGCCGCGTTACCCGGGCCAGAATTTTACCCCCCTGATATATATAAACTTGCCGGGCGCCCAGGCCGACCGCTGCCCTTGAGGCATATACGACAGAAACTCAGGAAGGCCGGATCATAAAGCCAGTCAGATCTAACGTTACTGGGAAGATCGAGGACCGGACCACAACCTCATTACTTTCAAGCTCAACGATCCAGAAAACCCTAAGAACTGGAGCAAAGCGCGGAAATGGTACATCACGAAGGTTGAGCTATATCTTGCTTCCTTCGTCGTCGCTTTTGATAGTAGTGTGATCACAGCTGGTATAGGAAAGGTAGCGGAGGAATTCGACATAGGGGAAATTGTGGACCTCCTTACGATTACAGTCTGTGGTATTGGATTCCAAAGTGTTGGTAAGTTTGGGGTTTCGCCCCTTTGAAAATTTGGTCGTGTCGGATGGAAGTACCTAGGCGTATTTTCTTGACATTAAATATGTCATTTACAGAGCCAATGTCAGAAATGTTTGGACGAAAGCCAGTATATGTCCCTACACTGTCGGTCGCTGTTGTCTTCTTGATTACGGAGTACATAGTGTCAGGAGCTGTGTGGGCGCTAGTCACGTTCACCGCCCCTGAGACGTCCACGGGTACACTCCCACGCTTCTCGTCAACAGGGCCAAAAAGATGAGAGAATGAGACAAAGAACGATAGATACGTGACAGAACAAGACCTTGATTCTAGATCATGAGGGGAGGAGAACCTGTGCTTGTTCCTTTTCCCGCCGTTCTAGCTTTCTTTTTGGAACCAAATCGTTTCGATTTGTATGTCCATTCTATACCGGCTGCTTTACATGTTTTTTCATTGCGTAAGTTGCCTATGGTGGAGTAGAAATTTTGGTTTACCGGGAAAAAGTGACTAACTCCCTTTCCAGATTTCCGAACGCTTATCACAAAAGGCTATTCTGCCGGTATAGTACTGGCCTGATGTTTATTCCTCTCGCAATCGGAGTCTTACCAGCACTTGCTGTGCTCCACTAGTCAACAACCAACTACATAAAGCTGAGCCAAAAAAATATGGCGGGAAGCCCCATGCTGAGATGGGTTTGATTCCTAAGATGATATCCTGCTGGTGTATTCCAAGAATGTTCATTTTTGCGTGGACCTCATATTCTCGCATTCATTGGATTGGGCCGACAATTGGAGGTTTCCCAGTTGGATTTGGATTCATTTTCTTGGTAACAATACGCTACCTAAGGTCCCGTCCATTCAAATGGTTTGGGCTATGACATCACGCTAACACAATTTCCGCAGTTGACACCTATCAACATCAGGCTACTTCCGCGCTTGCCGCCAAAACCTTTCTACGATCCATGTCCTTTGGTTAAACGTTACCAGTGCGCAAGCTCATTTATCCCGTTCCTTGGTCGGCGTGCTGCGCAATCCCATTCGCTTTCTATTTCAAGGGAGGCGATTCCGAAACACTCCAGATATGCCTTTTGTTGACCAGAGAAATAATAATCTAACAACACAATCCGTTCGGCCCACATTTGTTCTCTAGCAGCAGACCATGCGGTTGGAATTAGTGGCCAACTACTTCGTGGACTCCTAGTATTCGTGGTTTTCAACACGAGAACCAAAAATGCTGGTCATTTCAATGCTTCCTTCGACAATGCTTCCTTTTCTACTTTTCTGTTTCCTTTTCCTCTTATCTTGCACTACCCTATATTTCCTACCACCCGGTACTATCTTTCGGTATTTAATGTCTTTCACCCCTTTTTCTTCATCAATTGGTTTACCTCGTAGCATAAAAAAAACATTTACTGAGCGGGATGTTTCATTTGCTTCTCATTGCCCTATTGATTTGGCGAAAGATGCAGCGCTTGATACCATTTCTAGAGCATCGATGATAGATCAAAAACGTATATAGTGATCTATTATTATTGTCCATATCACAGTTAATAAAAATAATTCAAGAAAAAAACTTTAACTATTTCTTCCAGTTATTTTACATGCGCCACAATCGGACTATCATTGGTCCGGAGGGGGGTCCATCTGGAGCCCCATCTAAACACACTTCTCCCTACCGGAAGCAAATCCGCTTTTCCAACTCTCTCCGCCGCCCCGAGATGCCAGCGACTATGTATTGACCAGCCACAATACCAGACTCCTATATAGATTCTTTTGTCAATAGTAACAATGATCCCAATGCCTTTCATTCTCAACAGCATACCCTTTTTATAAAAGCTCAGCCGATCATGTCGCTACAACTTTCCACTAGTGCCGCCGCCACCACCTCCCCGCTTACATCCATCTCAACCCCTGTTTCCGAACTCCCCCAGGCGCAGGTGGATGCAATCATTCGCACCAAACGCAAGGCGCGCGAACCCAAAGCCTGCTACCCCTGTCACACCCGCAAGGTAAAATGTGATCGCAATCTGCCCTGTGACGGCTGCGTCAAGCGAGACCATGCGGATCTATGTTCGTACGAACGGCCCTCGAAGAAGCGGCAGGTTGCTGCAGCCCAAGCGTATGTTGCAGCTGCAACGACAGCAGCGACCACCAGCAATGGAGCTGAGCCTGGCAGTCTCCAAGTGAGCCCGACGGAGCTGCAAGTTGCCACTACGGGTGTTGCAGGTAAAGTGGCTATTCCCAAGGAGGAATGGGAGACAGTATGCGCCAAGTTGAAGGATATGGAAAATATGATCTCATCGCTTCGGATGGGCCTCGAGCAGGTGGAGTCTGCCCAGCCTATACCATCAACGATCCCAAGTGCTAGTTCAGGTGCTCGTTCGGCGGATAGCTTTCCAGACCGCGAAGGAATCCATGCGTCGAATGAGCTGGGGAATGGGACCGTACATCTGGGATCAAGGTCCGTCTTGGCCTACCTGCTTGGTCGATCAGGCACTTCGCAGGAAGCTTCCCAGGCGTTACTTGAAGGGGGCATTCTTCCGAAGCTGGGACTTGATAATGAATCGGCTACATACCCGTTCGTTGATCTCTGGTCAACGGATATACGTACATTCGACATGCGTGCTGTCTGTGCAGTTTTACCCGACGATGACCAGTGCAGGATGTAAGGTTTATTTTATTTTATTTTATTTTATTTACTTTTGTGTCTTCTTCCCTCCTCAGCTCCACAAGCACATTTTTGCTAAATAGTAAAACTCTTGTTGGTTCTATTTCTTCTGCCTTAGGTTCATTCGAAGTTACCGTGATATCAGCACAACAATCTATCCGGTTATTCCTGATATCGATCAGTTTGAAGCGAATCTAAATACTCTCCTGCAAAACAGGATGCTGTGGGGCGGTCTTCAGCAAGGATCTAGTGAGGATACGGACAAGCCCTACGGGATGAGCCTGGCTTTTGTTGGGTTGCTCTTCGCCGCACTGGCTGCGGGGTGCCAATCATCCGACCTTCCTAGCAAGGAGAGGGAGTTGACCTCCCAAGTTTACGGTATGTCTCCTTTCTGAATCGCCCCCGCCATACTCCCAGTTTCCATTGTAAACAAATCTAATACATGTTTTAGTATGCTGCTCATATCAATTTTTACGAATGACGAATTTCTTGTCTCAACCGACGCTCGAAGCGATACAGACATTGCTTATTATCGGCAACGTCCTTTCGTACAATATGAATCCCGGCGTTTCTTACGTTTTACTGGGTGAGTATTCTATCAAATGCCAATTACTTCACCTCAATTACTTAAGAAGTATACAACGATACTAACCTTTCTTTCACAGGTATGACTCTAAGAATGGGTCTTGCTCTTGGTTTACACGTAGAGTCGAACAGGTTTTCATCTGCTGAAAGATACATTCGGCGAAGAGTTTGGTAAGACTCAACTATCGCCTCTGGTGGTGGTCATTTCTGTAGCTTGTTTCGTCCTAATGCTTACTTACTTGCACAGGTGGTCGATGGCATGGCAAGATAGTCACTTCTCCTTGTCGTATGACAGGCCATCCACGATGGCGTTTAGCCAACCAGATATACCCTACCATTCGACCTCACAGCCAGGGCACCGCTCTTACTTCGAAACTCTCAGCCGGATAATCTCACTCACCTTGGAAATTCTCAAGGGGCGCATGCTATCACCGCAGTCGCACATGGGGGTTACTGTCATCCAGGCATACAGGGATGAACTTCAAAAAATCATGACAGATGTATCCCCACACCTCCGCGACCCGGCATCCTGCCTCACCCACTTCGACCACATCCAAAGATTAGCATTGAAACTACACTCATCTTATGTAACGTCAGAACTCTGTCGACCCGCATTGAAGAATGCCGAGTCAAAGGACCCTTCCTGGGTAGCCATGCGCAAGGATTGCGTCGCCGCCCTCGCCCGCACCATCGAGGCCTATATAGAATTATATTCGATCAGTCCCCAGGCTGGGCGATCATGGATCGGTCTGCAACGCGCAATCAGTTCCGCCTTCCTCCTCGCCGTGATTGGCGAATCTAAAAACGACCCGTACATTTTGCAACTACTCCGCCGGCTTGAATCAGTGATAGCAGAACGTGCAGCGTCTGAGGGTGCCTTTAACGCCCCTGCTACCGCTACCGGCCCAAGCACAGCTGGCACTGCCGGGATGCACTCACCGCAACAGGCATACCGTGCCACGAAGATAGAGCGTTCTGACATGATCAATGGCACTACAAACATATCCACTCCAAGCTACGACCCGGTATCAGTCTCCATCGCCTCTACTGCCCCGCTCCCCATCTCTGTTGTAGCCGACACTCAGACCCAGTGGGCAAAACCCTTAACCAAATCGCTCCGTGCCCTGCAAAAACTCAACGCCGCCTTCAGCATGCAGGCGCAGCACAAGAAAAGCCCGTCGGCGGCGCCGCTGCACATGGTCGTTCATGGCTGCGCTAACACTGGCAGCACAAACAACACCGGCACCGCCGCCATACCCACGCCGTCGTCCACTTCCCCGCCTAGTGTTGGAGGTGGGTTCGCCGTGTCGACAACGGGAAGTAGCGCTGCGGGTCTAACCCATCCGGCAAAGCCTGAGTCGCTCCCGCCACATACGCCGGAGAGCACGACGAGTGGAGAGTGGACGTTGCCGAATTTGATGGATCGGGCGGCGGAGTATATTCATCCACCGCTGTGGGCGTGAAGGGTGTATATATATGTATACACTCTCGACATGGAGGCTGAACTGGGGTTGCGGGAGGCCTGAGAGATGAAAACGGGCTCGCGGGAGAATATGCCACGAGCACAGAGAGGGGAAACAGGAAAAAAAGGGAAAAGGCAAGAAAAGGAAAGAAAAAAAAAAAAAAAAAAAGAGGAAAAGAAGACGAAGACGAAAGCAAAAGTTTGGAATAAACGGGCTTGGAAGTACGTTCCCTTTGTCTCCCCCCACGCACGTACCTATAGTCTAGTAGGTACTTAACTCTTTACTATACGCTGCGTATGCATCTTATCCCACCATCCCATCGTTTGGGTGTCGTTTATTCCTACATTCACGTCCCCCCCGCGCCCCGGCGGCATACGACAACGTACTATATTTTTTTTTTAACTTTCCCTATACACATCCCTACGCAGTATATTTTTTTTCCCCTTTCGCTTTACTTTTTTTAAAAGTCCTTGAGCAAGATCATCATCGGAGCCATTCGTCACCACTACCAGCACACCATGTTCAGCCTGAGATTTTCTTTTTTTTTCCTTTTTTTTTTCTTCTTCTTTTCTTTTAATATGTAACTTCTTTCTATTATTATTAATGTCTTCGGAGGTTGGCGCATGGATAAAATTAAAAGGGGTTTCTCTTTTAGAAAGTTGAAAGAAAGGGGCCGGCGCAACAAGACACGGAGAAACGGATTTTTTTTTTTTTTTTTTTTTTTTTTTTTTTTTTTTTTTTTTTGTCGAGCGTTTTATTGGAAGTTAGGAAGGGAAGAAAAATATTGAAAAAGGATAGACTAATCTCTCACTCACTCTCTCTCTCTTGCACAAAAGTTATAGATGTGTGTACATGTATGTACAAAAAAAAAAGAAAAAAAAAAAGAAAAAAAAAAGTTCATAATGGAGTAACTTATTCTATTAACTATCTGTTTTGAAAAATGGTATGAAAAATGGTATGAAAGGGGCATTTCATGCATAAGGTGGTAAGTAGTAGTAGTAAGTGAGTAGTTGGAATGTTTCTCATTGACACATTAATTTATCTATGCAGCATTCAGATGAGTGTAACAAATTGTTGGAATCCCATCTTTTTTGCATTTCCTGACTTTCCTTTCAAAGATGGCAGAGAGGGAGAGAAGTAATGAAACAGGGCTAAGAGAGAGACTCCATTCCACAACTACAATAAATCACCACTATATATATACATCCCTACTTGTTTTTCTCCGCTGCCTGTTCTTACAGCTAAGTAGTGGTTTTGAGGCCATCACAAAAGAAAAAGAGTATGGAATAAATAGTAGAAATTGTCATCCCCCCCGCTTCTTCCTAGTGTTCATATAGTTACATGTACATATATGCAAGTCATTTTTGTGTGTTTTGTGATGAGTGAGAGATTGCTGGCTAGTGTGTGTATGTATGTATGGTGTATGTGTATGTGTGTGTGTTTGTTTTCCTTCTCATCTTCTTTCTTTCCTTCTCTTCTTTCATCTTTTTTATTTTCTTCCATTTCCCCATTTTCGCATTGCAATCAATAATCGCCATCCCTATGGCTACCCTACCCCCCCATTCATCACCATCTATCTCCCTATAACAATTCATCCCGTTCCTGCTCCCGCAATCCACATCTATGTCCTTGCCCTCGCCCCCCCCCACATTACCCTCGACGCTTTTTCGTTTTCTTTTTTTTTTTTTTTCCGGATATTTTAGGGGTTCGGGTTGTATGTATTATATATTTTAAACAATGATGGGACCGCCAACCCCAATTCCAATTCACCACTTTAGAAATGCGAGTTGTCTGGTAGAGGAGGAAAACGGAGGCAGGCAGGTGACAGGAGAGATATTACAGATGGGAGAGAGCGGAGAGAGCGGAGAGAGAGAGAAAGTAGATAGAGAGGAGAGGGCGGGAAACCAAATTGATATTGAGTCTTTTTCGAAACGGAATAAAAAACGGTTTAAGGAAAGGAAAAAGGAAGAAAGGAAGAAAAAGAATGGCGGTGGGTGCTTTATTTCTGCTCCTGGGGATACAATTCCTCCTGGAGCGTGACTCCGAGTTCCTCTCGTAGACTCTTCAGTTCTTCGAGGTACATTTCGTATTGGGCCTTGTTTTCGACCTTGGCTCTGATGCCTGTGTGTTTTTATTTTTCCCGATTGGAGTGTTTGTCAGTATTCTGGTGTGAAAGTGTGATTGCTGAAATTGCAATTGGCATTCTTGTTCGTGTGTATGGGAAGCAAAACGAACCTTCGAAGATTCTAACGGCGGTGGGGAAGTCGTTGACTCTGCGGGCAGCCTTAAGGGCGGCGGTCATGACGCTGACGGAGGGGACGAGATCGTAGGCGAAGGCATTGTTAAGGTTTCGCTGTATGATTTCGACAGGGAGGGTAATTATTAGTCTTCAGCTGAATTTTTGTGAGGGAAGCGGGGATCAATCGGCAATTGGAATTCCCGGAATGATAGGAGAGTTTGGGGGAGGCTTTTATACCTGCAGTTCGAAGACATCCTGTACACCATCGAATTCCTTCTCATATCTATTGAACAATTTTGGAATTGAGGGTTAGATGGGTTGTAAAACAATATGGATATAAATAACCAGAAGTAAAAATCAAAATCAAAATGAAAATAGAAAAGAGGCTCATTAGTTGCAGGCGATGTCGGAGGGTGTGCGGATCGGGAAAGAGTTGTTACGAGCGCATACCTGGCAGAGAACTCCTCAAAAGTCTCCTCCTCATGGCCCATAGCTCCGCTGGCGCATTTGGACGACGAGCTGAAGCTGCTCACTCCTCCAAAGGCGACAATGGCGGGAGCGGCGGCAGCAGCGAAGACGGGCGCGGCAACTCTTGATCGGGCAGAGTAGGAAGCTCTGAAAAAGCCGACTGGGGCTGTGCGCGAGGCAATGCGGAAGAGGGTGGTGGACGACATTGGGGGGAGAGAGGTTGCCGATTGAGCTAGACTGAGCGGGATTGGGAGATGTGGACAGCGCAGAGGAGCGGTGGTGGTTGTGCGGGAAGTTGGACGATTGTTGGGCGAGGAGAAAAGGCGAAGTGGTTGGTTGTGGTGATGGTTGGTTTGGTGGTGTGGTTGGTGGGAGTGAGTTGGCTGTGGGAAGTTCTCGGAGCGGTTTAGCCTGGGGCGGGTTTGGTCAGCAATTGGCCCGACCTGGTTGGGTTCCATATATCAGATCACATACAACATACAACATACATACAACATACAACATACAACTGTTGTTAACATACAGCATCAAGCAGCTCAAGAGTGCACCCCTCTCAAATTGCTGTAGTTAGGCAGTGATAGATAGCCGTGGTTCGTCGCAGAGTATCGTACACTACGAGGACAAGAGCCTGTCTAAAAAAAAAATATTCAGTCTAACCCTCAAGCCGCGGAGGCTGCTGCTAGCCAGCAGGAGAGTGCAAGAGATGGCAAGTAGGTACATGTAGATACACTCGTTCTCATGAGCAGCTTTGCAGCTTTGTTCAGTTGAAAGGATGCCAATTAATATCTATAGTACAGAAGAAGCGCTCTCGTTCTTCTGGCTTTGCTATTGTAGCTGCGGCTCTGCTAAGTCAGATATATATATGTACTCCGTATTGTTCACAGTTTTTCTCCCAATCGCTATGACTGACTGTTGTTCCAAGAAGCCTCATGCTACTTGGATACACTTTTTAAACCCTGCAATTCTCTTCTCATTTCTTTTCTGTTCTTACCTTCTTTTTGCCATGTACCACCAAATCCAAGGGTTTTGAACTTCGACATCTTGGCTGGTAGAGAACCATGCCCATGCCCATTCTGCATCTTCTGGTCAACCTTGAATACCTTCAGCAACTACTTTAAACATTCTTCTTCAACTCATGGATGCCCCAATTAACCTTTTTCACCTTCTGACGAGGGTTCATCTTTTACCTTTTCCCAACTCTGGCCTGGTTTGACGTAATTTTCGGCATCTTGCTTTTCCCTCCATTGTAATAATCTGTATTATCGGATGTAATGACGAGACTGTAATTTAGTCGTATGACCAGTTCCAGCCCAATCACATGCCATGCTGACCGAAATGCCCAGAGCCCGCCAAGCAGCCAATGTCGCCGTGCGTACTGGCCGATACAACCCAAGCAGCTGTCTGTTGCCATGCTTCTGTGTGCGTTGCCCCTGTTGTCCCTTACTACGGGCTTGGGCGGATCGAGGTAGTGTAATTTATTCTTTCCAAGGGCCGATTGTACTGTTTCCAGTTTGGGGGTTTAAATTACGCTGTTACATAGAGTTTACACTGAGTTTACACTTTACTGCTCGTGAGAACCGTCCACAGTACAGTGCCAGTACCACAGATCCCCCTCCCAATCGGGCCGCAATCCCCTGTCACACGCGTACATACCATACCATTCCAAACCATACGATACCTCCTTTTTTTTTTTTTTCCTCTCCTCCTCAACTCTACGCCGACTCGCTATATTTCGCTTCATCTTCAAACTTCATTTCTTTCTTCTCATTATTGATTTATTTCTCCCAACTTCTCTCCTCTCCGCGCCTTTCTGCTGCCTGTCCTCTCTGCAGCCCCCGCCCTTTTGTTTGGCGTCTTCTTCTTCTTCCACTTCTTCCGCTTTTTCCTCTTCTTCTTGTCACTCCTTCATCGGTCCCCGTTTCCCTACCACTTTTTTTTTTCTCCCTCTTCTCCTTAACAATTTTTTTCTTTCTTTTTTCTTTTTGGGTGTGGCTCTGCCTCTGCAGATCGATTGGATCGCCATTTGGATCTGAACAGCATACTACATTACATACCGTTATATATAAATTCCCGCATTTAAACCCTGTCGCGCCGTGATCAATTTTTATTATTTTATTTGTGTACGATTATATGTGTATGCGTTTGACTGAAACTACTCCTTGCAACGCTCTCACCCTCGAAAACTGCCATCTCCTCCTGTCATCTTGACCATAACACACACACGTCTCTTCGATATGTCGTTCGACCTCGGCTCCATCCCAATTCCAACCCTCGACCGTCCGTTCGGCATTGAACTATGGCCGCTCTTCTCCAAGGCTTACACGGCAGTCGCGGGGTTCTCGCCGGAAGACTTTAAATTCACTCAAGGCCAGACTCCCATGTCGACCTTGAACGGAACCCTCATTTCCCTCGCGTCCTACTATATCATCGTCTTTGGCGGTCGAGAGATCATGAGAAACCGCCCCGCGATGAAGTTGAATGGTGTTTTCCTCATACACAATCTATACCTGACCTTGATCAGTGGAGCGCTACTGGTTCTGTTTATCGAACAACTTCTTCCGACGCTGTGGAGGAACGGCGTTTTTTATGCTATTTGTGACGTTAAGGGTGGTTGGACGGATCCCCTGGTTGTTCTATACTATGTATGGCACATATTCCTATTGTCGGATATATATTATGTTTGGTTAAACGTAAAGTGTACCCGCTAACACTTCCGTTATAGTTGAACTATCTCACCAAATACCTGGAGCTCCTCGACACCGTCTTCCTCGTCCTCAAGAAGAAGCCTCTTACTTTCCTCCATACCTACCACCATGGTGCCACAGCTCTTCTGTGCTACACGCAGTTGATTGGTCACACAGCTGTCTCCTGGGTGCCCATCACCCTAAACCTCCTGGTCCACGTCGTTATGTACTGGTACTATTTCCAGAGCGCCCGGGGCATCCGCATCTGGTGGAAAAAATGGGTCACCATCCTCCAGATTGTACAATTCGTCATTGACTTGGGTGAGTAATAAAATAACAACTCAACCCCAACAAAACAATCCAAAACCACATGCAAACTAATACACTCTATCAGGATTCGTGTACTTCGCATCCTACACCTACTTCACATCAACCTATTTCCCACACATGCCCAACGCAGGGCACTGCGCCGGCGAGGAATTCGCCGCGTTTTCCGGTCTAATCATCCTTTCGTCCTACCTCCTCCTCTTCATCTCCTTCTACTTTGCCACATACAAGAAATCAGGCAAAGCTGGCCGCCCACGCAGAAATACCGGCAAGCAGGCTGTGATTGATATGCGCAATATGGAGATTCCGTCGGTTGGTGGAAAGCCTGCGGCTGTCACAACGACGGCGACAACCAATGGCACTGCCAATGGAAATGGCCATGCCTACGCGACGAACGGATCTGCGGTTACCTCAGCGCGTTCGAATGGTGGCCCCGTCACACGGTCGAGAAAGGCCTAGGTATAAAAGCAAAGTGAGCGTAGGGGCTTGCTTTGCTTTTTTGTTTTCCAAAGACAGAACGAAGAATTCAAGTAGGAGAAGATAAGGGAGGGACACACTGAACTAAAACACGGGAAAACGAACACGGAGTGGGAATTATTGAAGCAAAGAAGGAAAATTAGCTTCTCTGCCGCTAAATTTTTTTTTGAAATCCGACACGCCTCCCTTGCCCCCAGTCGCCAGCTACCATATAATGAGTGCAGATCATTTTATTGTTTAATTTTTCTCTTTTTTTTAATACTTACATTTACATTGCCTTTTGGTCGAATCTAATCAATTGATCATTGTCGCTTTTCTTCCAACCCCGCTGTGACCAATTTCATCACTTGTCACTGATTGAGATGATTTTTTTTTTTCATTTTTTTCACTTTTTTTTTTCCCCCCTCTTGATATAACTTCTGAATTATGAGGTTTGAGGTTTGGAAATAATACTTCTTTAATACCCAGTTCGTTCTGGTGTTTTTCTTTCCTCCTCTTTTTTGCCACGGATTTCTTTCAGGTGATTTTTCCTTCCATGTGCTGTATTCCTTTAGTTTTTATTTTTCACCCTTCTCAGATTCCCTCCATCCATTTTTTTTTTTTTTTTTTTTTTTACCCTTCACTTGGTTTCTTGCTTGGTGCTTATTATTTCTCTCTGCTTGAACATATCGACGACGTCGCTACATCACATATCAATCAAATCACACACATATATCACCTACCACATATTTTTCTTTGTCTTTTTTTTTTTTTTTAATTTTTTCTTCTTTCTATTTTTGCCTTGCCTTTAAAACTATATAAACGCGAGGAAGAGGGATAAACGGATAAAAAAAATACCAACAAGTATTGATGTATTGATTATATTATGATTGGGGTTGCACATGCCTTCTTTCCCTTTGTTTTGACTATCTTACTATGATGTACATGTACATATTCTTGTTGGATTTTGATGTACTTTTCAACCTTCTTTCTTTTTTTCTCCTTCTGTACTGTTGAACTACTGGGAAAGGGGATTCTGTTTGGTAGGTTCGATGATACTAAGCCCGCAATCCCAATCAACTCAATTGGCAACCATTCTCTCAGCCCAACGGACAAGATGAACCGCACGCGACGAGGCCGTTGTTGACAATGAGCTCCCCATTCCATGTCCTTACGCGCTGAAATCACCACGCACATTCATTCTCCCAAATCCCTACCCACTATTCTTCCGAGTTTTGGATTCCACCCACCCTTCACATCCCAGATACCTATGTTCCAGATTCAGATTCATTTTTTACTCGTTCCTCCCTACCTCGCCTATCCAGCTACCTCTCATCGCCCACATCACATCGCAACGATGGTGCAACGACATTTCGCTGTTGATGGGCTATGGGTGGAATGCAATGGATATTGAAAGGTGAGAGGGGAGTGGGGATGGGGTTTCTTATCTCCATACCTATGTAGGTGTATTATTATATATCATTGAACGTACATCATTGTGAGTTCTGAGAAAGGCCCGACGCCCACCTTCCGTCTTCATGCTTTTTTTGCTCTGGTGGGGCGCTCCTCATGTCGCTTTCATTTTTAAATTATGCTCTGGTTATTGGTGTCTTGGGTATCATTTTAAATTGCGATGTCTATTTAATCTAATGTTACTTCTATTTGCCTGGCGTTAACCTGGTACAACTCGCTCAAATGCTTCGATGCACGGTATGATCTTTAGCTTTTCTTTGCTGTTTTTTTTTTTTTTTTTTTTTTTTTTTTTTTTTTTTTTAAATCTTCTTTTCCCTTTGTCAATGGTGGTGGGTTAGCTATTATTAACTAACTAACTGGATATGGCCTCTATTCTGTTCGCTCTTTCTATATAGTCATTAAATATGCTGGACAAAAATACTACATATCCCAGCCCCTTTTGCATCCGTTTTCAAAAGCTACATCTTCCACACATCATGTGCGGTGGAGTGCACCGAAAGGAATGAAGCATACATGGCGCTGGTGGCCACCGCTCATCTGCCTACATCTACGTCGGTGTCTATAGTATCCTCCTGCTTGGGAAATTGTATCTCCGTGTTTTGATGTGGGTGCATGTATAATGGGAGGCGTCCTGTGCCGGGGGGAGGGTGGGATTTACTAACGTTACAATGTGAAAGAATCAGTTTTGAGTTTCCGTGTTTCCACATGTTAAAGGGCTTGGTCATTGGGTATAGGTAGACAGTGAGGAAACGGAGGAGAGCGCGATTGGGGAAGTGGTGTGGTGTGGTGTGCGTGAAGTGCTGGACTGTTCACAGCTCTGGTTTCCCCCGTGAGTTCCCGAGTCAGGGTGTCAGATAACGAAACGCATCACCTCGTTGGCATGTCTTGTGATTGATCTCCGGCAATCTGTTTGCCACTAGCCAGCGGACAGTACAATATCGTATTTACAAGCAGAACCCCGAAAGAAGGACCACAACGGGGCGATGGAAGGTCAAGATTTAGGTAGGAGCCAGAGCCTAGATAAGCGTCCATGTAGGTCTTGTCATATTTCGGAATCTCTATCGATATTCACAATTTCAACAGGGACGTCAGAGACTGGGAATCTATTCTAAATGTCGACCGCATAAGCCGACAGCATGTATCTCCTATAAAGCAGGGTTGTGAAGAGCATGCTAGCGCCACATAAGCCAATGGTCCAAGGCCGCCGTTTTCTAGAAGAAATCAATGATGGAGAAGGCTTGGGCTTCTTCATCTTTGTATAGCGAGTTATCGTGACGCACGGCTGGTCTCGTCGATAGTCGCGATTTCTCGGTGAGAGATTTGCATGGGACATTTGCCATAGCCATCTCGGTTGATAATCCGGCATCCGGCCGTATCCCAGATCTCATTTGCGGCTTTATTCAAGATGATCTCGAGGAGTACACCGGCATCGTGTGCTATGGTAACCCAACAACATGGCCACATCAATTACTGATTTCCCCTGCCTCATCACAATGAGGGCGCACGCTGAAGTTGATCAAGAAGAACCTCAACTCAGGCCGGCCGAGGCAGCAGTGATAGTCCTAGCTGCCCTCTATATAAGGGTTGTCCAAAAGCTGTGGACCACCTCTTAGGGAATATATCTGTTATACCAGATCGATGGAGCTGGTTGCGGTTGACCTGAGGACTTGATTTCTCACAGAGCTAGAGATCGGAGTTCCAGTTCTGCAGAATCAGTGAATAGGCGATCTTGCAAACAGTGTCACCTCAAGACTTCCAGATAGCCCTATTTTAGATATGGATGACAATTAGAACAAACTTGGATGCGGCTGAATATCTTTCGTGATACTGTGGTGTGGACTTTGGAATCACGGCCACAAATGTTCTGTTGTCGAACCAGGGAGATAGAATTTCTATATTTATATTGAGATGGAACAAGGTTCACGCTAATCCCAGTTAGTTCTAAGCGAAAGCTTGGCACCGAGTCCTTCTCCAACGACATCTAAATCTATCGAGGTGTGGTCTCTGACATTGTCCACCCCGATGGAATCAATGATGAGGTTGCTCTGCATAGCTAAAATGCCAATCATGAAATCCGAGCTTCCTACATCGATAGCATGTAGATAGTGGAGTAAGAAAACCCCAGCCCAACGGAGGCCCGTGTTTTCCCAGGTGCGCACTATGGCGTGCAATGCGTGCTCGGATGGGCTAGTTACAGCAGGCTGGGATACGGCTGAAATACGGGGTAGGGTTGGCAAAGTTCTCTCTCAGTCATCCCGCATTACAATCAGCAAAGCAACGCTGTCCTGAATTAGCCAACTTTAACTGTGGCCAGATTCAAAATCGGGCGCGGGATCTCTCACTGGCATATGGCACCCCTGGTTCTCCGGTCATGCTAGCTCTGCAAGTCGTTAATGCGATTATGACCTTCTGTCGCGGTCCCTACAATAGTTTCATCCCATGCTGAGAATTTTGGGTCGAGCAGACGTTTTGCACAGGTCGTCAACTCCGAACATCCGGGTAGACAGACATTTTATGACTCAGGTGACTGTATAGCTAGACGAGCTCGTTTTCGCAGGCGCTTTCATCTCTACCCGGGTTTCTAGTGCAGCAGGGCGTCTTGTCCCGGGATATGGGGGGAAAGTGTCCCTTTTTGAATTTTTTCCTTTTTTGATAAGTCAGAAAGAAAGAAGAAATAGAAAAGAAAAGCTCCTGAGGAGAGAATTGATGAAAAGGTAAGTACTTTCATATTTTTTTTTCATTTTTCTTAAACCATGCTGCCAAGTAATTGCCCCTTTTTTGCTAGGATTGCCATCTACAATTCCCCGCATCTCCCTTCTGTTCCCATCATTCTTTGTACCCCATCCTTATATCCTTTAATGGCACCCGAATCCCCTCGAGTGCTCTGTTCTCTTGCATAAAACTACCAAACCATACGCAATTTCCACCCAACAAAGTCCAAATTTGACACTCTGAGGCTCTCTTGCCCTGGCCGTTATCTTTCCCCATCAGCAAAGCATGTCTGATCAGAACAAAAAGTACACCGTCGGCCGGATCTGTGCCATACCTACGGACCTCGTTGCCGCGCAAGCTTTTCTCGACGAAAAGCACGAAGGTCCAGTATATGTGGATCCCAACGATGCCAAGAGCTACACATTGGGGGAAAAATAATGTCGCCATAGCTTGCTTGCCCTAGCAAGCACTGATGATAGGCTATATTAAAGATGATTCATTCATCCCTTAGCTGGTAAAGCAAATGTTGCGGCAACCTGCGCGGAAATCTGCGATAAAAGTTAGTTGGTACCACGGCCTGAACGGCTGAAAAAGATCATAATCCAGCAATTCACCCTGGCCTAATTGCTTCAGCGAACCAGGTGATGAAGGATGCTTCAGTCAAAGAGATGAACTTTCTGCAGAAGGGGATGTACTGTGTTTTGAAATGGAGGCAGGTGACTTAATGACTACTTTCCCCTGTTTAGTCATTCGCAGTATATGTGATTACTCAGATTAGCATAAAATAAGGATTGGCAGGGATATGCAGCGATGGCGGCGGCAGCATATGCAAAAGATCTTTGATGTAAAATCCATCCACGCAGAGTTGAGGCTGAGAGAAAATCAGCGAATTTCGATCTGGTTCGTCAAGTGTGTCGCGGAGTCTTGTAATTCATAAATGCTAACCTATGCAATCAATGACAAGTCTCCAAGAAGTTGCAGTAGAGCACGGGATATTTCACGAAAGCATCTTCAACTCCAGCAAGAGACGGCCAAGCAGAAGCTATTGACAAGCAAAAAAATTGTCTCAGTTGTTCCGTCTCACCAAGAGCACCGAGGATGCAACATAAACAAAAACCGCGTGGAAGACCGAGTAGAGGGCACATACGAGTGGTTCCTCGGACACAACAACTTCCGGAAATGGTTAAAACAAGAAGAGTCGGGGCCGGTGCTGGTCTCAGCGGACCCAGGGTGTGGAAAATCGGTCTTGACCAAGTACCTGATTGACCGTGAGTTACCAGGATCGGCGACTATTTACTACTTCTTCTACAAAGATCAGGACCAGAACACCGTGCGCCAAGCACTTTGTGCACTTCTTCGCCAGCTGTTCTCCCAGAAGCCTTCACTGCGATAAAACCATGCGACGAAAACGGGCCAGGTCTTATCAACTCAACTAACCCTCTCTCTCTGTGGACTATCCTAGGAGATGCTGTGCGGGATCCCGAGGCCGGACCTGTTATCATTGTACTGGATGCCCTGGACGAATGCGATGCGTCAGAGTTAGCGGACTTGGTGCGGAATGTGTCAGGCCAATTCCGCAGCAGTCAGTTAGGCTATGGAAAGTTGAAATATATTCTAACGAGTCGCCCGTATGAGCAGATCGAGTCCAAGTTCCAGGCCCTGTCGGACTGTTTTCCGCAAATCCGTATACCAGGGGGGAAAAGTCGGAAAAAATTAGTGAAAAGGTGGATCTCGTCATCAAATACCGAGTCAAACGGTTGTCAAGGGAGAAAGTGCTATCAGCCCAAATAAAGAGTCACCTGGAGAATAGATTGCTCAAAATTCAGCACCGTACATACCTTTGGGTATATCTCGTGTTTGATTACTTGAGGGCAGAAGACTCTAAAAAGACATCAAGAGGAGTCGATTCCGCTGCCAAAGAGTGTCAACCAAGCATATGAGCAGATTCTCAACAAGTCTAATAAACATTCGTTTGTTCGGAAAGGCTTTAAATATTATTTTGGCCGCACAACGGCCTTTAACGCTCTCGGAAATGAACGTTGACGTAAATATAGATCACAAATCAGAGTCGATTCACGACCTCGACCTAGAAGAAGAAGGACTTGAAGGTTCGCCTCAGATATTGGTGTGGATTGTTCGTTTCAATCTATCAGGGCAAGGTCTACTTCCTTCACCAAACTGCTCGGGAGTTGTTCCTCGCAGATCTGCCATCATCTACGACTATTCCCAAGGACCTACACTAGCATCACTTTATCACTATCCATAATGCACACCGCACCCTTGCAGAGCCCCTGTGTTCGCTATCTTAACTTCTTCAACTCTGAAGCTAGTCTTGTGACAGATACAACTGCGGAAGCCAGCCCCCACATTGCTAGACACGCCTTCTTGAACTATTCGGCCGAACTTTGGACTCTTCACTTCCGCGAGGTCCATATCAGCAATGACGACGCTACCATAACACGTTCTTGCCTTGAGAATATCTGACCCGGATTCGAGGGCCTATTCAGTGTTGTTCCGAATTTGTTGGCGCGCTGGACGGCATAGACATGTGCGATACCCTGGGTTTTCTATAGGTCTCATGGTGGTATCATATTTTGGACATAGTGCTGTCGCTAAGCTGCTGGTGGATAAAGACGCAGACCTGGAGCCAGCAGATAAATATAGCAGGACACCACTATTTTGGGCTGCAAGGGCTGGGCAGGAGGCAGTGTCAAGTTGCTGCTTGAGCAGGGCGCCAATATGGAGTCAAAAGAGAGATACAGTCTGATATCACTATCCTGGGCTGCAGAGAATAAGTATGGGACAGTTGTCAAACCGTTGCCTGAGCAGAACAATGAAGGATCCCAAATAGTACGTTAGATTTAATATTAGTAACTGGAATAGAGCGAAGCCAGGGAATGATGATGTTTATATACTATTAGAACGTTACCATCAGTTCTTCCCGTCCTTTCCATATACCCCCTTCTGATTAAATTATTCCAGAAAACTCCTCATCTACTTATGCAACTCTGATTCTTCCTTTAGCATAGCCATGCAATTGTTTGGTAGGTCTGTGGCAAATAAAAAAAGGTATGTCTTCCCGAGTTGATCGGGCTCGTTTCAAGGCGACAGACCTAGCTGAAACCGGTTGAACGGGTCCAGTTGCGTGGCTTTCAGGCAGCAGACTCTTAAGAGCACAGAATACTTTAAAATCGCCGCCGCGAGTAGGGAGGGCGATCGACTATAGGGTCGTGTTATGCTTCAAACTGTGAGACCCATAGCCCGCGCTAGCTTGCTTAGCTGAGATAGACAGCTATGATTTTTTTTTTTTTTTTTTTTTTTTTTTTTTTTTTTTTTTTTTTCCCTCACTTGACTTGACAACACGGTGATCCGAAAGAAGAAGGGACGGTCGGAGGTTCAGCATGCTAATTTATATACAGACTTTTCGACGGATGAGTGCTGTTTTCTTTATCAGCCTTAACCAGGGTATATTTGGTTGGTTGCGAATGGCAGTGCTATGCGGTAACATCCACGAGTGGAATGTGATATACGGCGGATCCGGGTTCCCTTCCCAAAGAAAGTGATGCAAGGACCTCAGTTCGGATGGGGCGCGAGGAATTGAACCTGACCCTACTCGAGTGGGACATGCATCAAACGCGCAGGCATCATAATGCGAGGCATGTATGCACAAGCGAAAACGGCCCATCGTTCGTTCTATTAGACCTGGATGTAGTCGGTGCCAATCACGTACCTAGATACCAAGCTAGCTGTGTACCTACCTCGCCCAGGAAAGGAGATAAAGTATGACAAGGATGTTGGTACGTATGAGTTTGGTTATGCTCGTCCGAGGGCCATGGCGTTAAGGGACAAACCGAGTGCCTGTTATAAACACAGCATATTTAAACGTGAGAAAAAGTGTCGTGGTATGCTTGCTGTGGGAAATAGCTCTATTTTTCTCTGCTCACCGAAGAGTCAAGATCCAACCGATCTGTCATCTGCAATTCCCCTAGCAGATTGCTCAGGGTTGGGCTATGGTGCGCGTTGTTTGACTCATCATGTCGGGGGCCGGTCCTGCTCCCTTCCACGGGATTACATCGATCCTGACACCTTCCTGTCCCAAGAGCTATCTGAAAGCAAAGCTCCCGACAACTTTGTGTGGCAGTGTTGATATTAATAGGCGGCGGGCAATCGTTCTGCTCTGTTGCTTCGACAGGATATCTAGAGACAGCCTCACTGAAAGAACCCGCCTTCGTTTGTCCAGTCACCGTCAGAAGATCTCTCTGTGCTCCGTATTGGCTTCCACGACAAGTCGCTCACAGAAGAACAGAAAGGATGGAATGAAGAGCCCGAACGAACGCCTAACTTGGTGACAAATACAAACAAGTAACAGCAGTGCCTTGTGGACATCCTCGATGATAAAGTCTTTATTGCAGATAGTCTAGGTTTCATCACCTCGGAGGTCAAAGGTAGGAGAGCTCTCCCCCCACAGGTTTGTATATGAAACCGCATATTATGAGCTTTTGCTATCAAAAAAGAAAAGAAACATCAAAACAAGTTGTTCGACTACTGTTCAAATATGCTCGAATATGAGAGCATTCGGCACAGGCATAGCGAACTTTCCGGGGTTGATGATATCTTTGGGATATTCCTATCCGGGAGAGACCTTGCCTAGCGCGTATTAAAGCCAAAACCCCTGTTTCTGAATAGGAGAAGGGAATCTGAAGTTTAATCGAACGTTCAATTGTGTGACAAAAACGCCATGAGAAATTTCTGCCTGTCAAGTTATTGATGAAGTAAGCTGGTCGTATGGTCGCTATATTTCTTTGATTGCGCCGTACATTGGAAAATCTTTTCCGTAGATTATGACGTGCCTGTGATAGCTGAGTGTGTTGCTTCTCTTATTGTTTGATCGAAGGAGACCCATGGTTTCTTGTTTCCAGAGATAGATCTATCAGTTAAGCTAAACCCTCTATTGGCTCGCATGGCCATTCATCTCCGGACATTTTCGATGCGGACGTTAACAATTTTTGTTTTTAGTAGAAGGTATCAAGAATAGACCGACTCTGATGAAACGCGCAAAATAGTCGCAGAACGCCGCTTGATTGGCTTAATTTCGTAATGAGATATCGGCATTGGAGAGCATGAAATAAATCCTTTTCGGTTTGTTTTTCGTAGCTGATCATATCATCTTTATCAATCTTAGGGGTAGAGGGTGCGGCGCACCTCATGCCATTGAAGCATATGCAGTCCATTCTGTGCCAGAGCTTCTGAAACGTGATTGACAGTGATCCTGAAAGATCATCAACTCGGAACAGCCGAGAAGCTGGAAAAAATATAGCGATCAGGAGGGGTACATGAGATTTTCCGAGAGGAGCACATCCAGCTGGTTCAGCGATTCATCCCCTGGTTGGTCAAAGGCTGTGGGAAATAAATTATCAGCTGGAAGCAAATCGAGGATCTGCCGCCACATCGAACGTCAAGCATTCTGTAACTACTGCTTAATAAACCTGGAAGAGGTTCGATCGCGTTGGATGTTGGCAGCCAGTCGTGAGCGAAAGGTGCCTGTTGTCATCCTGGGCTAAAAAAATTGCTGGAGGCGAATCAGACTGCACGCCTTACATATATCCAGCGAGACACCCAAGGCTTACCACCGATTTACTGTACGGAGTAGATGTTGGTCGCTTGCTTGCGAAGATCCCAGGAGAAGATTTGATATATATCGTTGGAGATATGGGCTTGCCCTGACTTTCCATAGTTGGAATGTAGTAAGACCCTTGGATTGTCATATCACCAAGCAAAGCCTTTTGCCGGCCATGACAACTTGCGGGCTGAGTTCTACATACCTACACCAGGACGGAAGCCCCCAGAATGGATGTGTTGGACAACAGGACTAACTGGAGACACGCATGTCGGGTTATAATTAACTATCCCAGCATATACTCTGTACAACGGTGTCGATCAGGATTCAGGCTACTTATAAGTTATGCCCGTCGAATGCACTGTGGGATGTTGGGACACACAACGGGGCTTACGGACGCACTGCATATTTTGTGCAGAAACACAGGGGATCTTGATATCCCGACTTCGGTCAGAATGAACACCACCCACACGATGTTGATGGCTAACTAGCTAAACTATTTTTGAAATAGCTACAAGTTGAGGGGGAATGACGGGTGCAATCGAGTCGCTTCCCCTGGCCTAAACTGGCGTCGTCGGGGTGTCGCATCTTTGAAGCCATCGTCATCCACAATGTTCTCATTGGCACGCTGGCGAGGCGGATGACTTGGAGGGGCTCTTCGCGTGTCTTGGCTGGCTTGGAACTGGCGGTTGGTTTGCCCACCGGGATCACGGAGACAGCGAGAGCCTTTGACAGTTGCAAAACCTCCCCGTCCGCCTCGTTCGCCTGCTGGTTGTGGCTGTACACTCCGCATTTTTGTTCAGCCATCATCTGGATTCGGTTCTCGACCCTGATGCCATCTCGCCCTAAAAGTCAGACGTGGTCCAATCAGTATCATTTTTTTCAAGCCCCTTCAAGCCATCTGCTTGGGCTTCGTTGAATTCTAGACGAAATGCACTTTATTTCAGGTACCATGCCCTGTTGGGGGGTTGGAGAGGGGGAGGCAAATTTCTCGAACGATCCTAGGATATACTCATGACCCTCGCACCCCCCCTCCCCTTCTGCCGTCTGGGATTCAAAGAGGAGCTGCTGGGTTCGAGTCTTCACAACCGAGCAGGGTCATGATACATCTCATACCTCACCGTTTGTGTTTGGGTTTCCTTCCTTTACAACCCCAGACATGGTCGCCGTTCATTCGTGTTATAGAGCAACCTTAGCTCTGTACTCATGAGAATTCTGCGTACATTTACTCTTTCTGAAGCTCTGCCGCCCTAATATTAGAGCTTGGAGTTTACCTGGTGAGCTTTTACGTCTTCAGAAGCATCGCACGCTGGCAGCTGTTAACCTAATATCAGTATTCCAGTTCTTGTTACACCTCGTGTCCTAGTTATTTCACCTTGATATATGATCCGTACATAATCTTCGATTTATTCCAGCCCTTATCCTCTTGGCTTTTCCCTGCTGCAAATTGAATCAACAACAGCCGGCGGGGATTTCCAAAGGTTTCTTCCTCTAGCCATGGCTACCGCCGCCGCACAAGCAATGAGCTCTTCTGAACTTCATAGAAAGTTCAGTAATCCGAGACCTTCAATAAATGTGACCGATATTCGACCAGCGGATATATACCCGAGATATGAATCCGAGGAAGAGGAGATATCTGAAGCTGAGGTGTCTGGGCGGACGGAGTCTGTATTTTCCCCCATAGAAAATGACAGCGATACTGGTGTCTCCGAACCTGAAGAGATGGGCTCCGATTCACCCCACTTAGTTCACCAGAACTATACGTCGGAAGACGAATTTCCTTTGCAAATTCCCATTTTCCCAGCCTCAGAAGCAACCATATCTAGAGCCGGTTCAATTAACACCGTCAAAAGGGCCAGCTGTATCACATTGATGCCTCCTCTCCAACCGCAACCGACGAAGCCGATCTCAATGGCCTCATCAACGTCCACGTCAACCTCGCCGCCTATGTTTCCAGCTATCGAGCCAATATTTTCCACTAACCATGCCGCAAAAACGGAAGCTCTTCAATACTTCCGTTCTTTGTATTCCGAGACAGCATCCTCGGATGACGAAGATGTTGCACATACGTCCTTTCTCATTGCAACTCCAGTATCCTTCTATGCGCCAGAAAGTAAACCGCAAATGATATCTATAGAACCTCCAGCTTGCCAAAACTCGAAAGGACGAGCAACAGAAACCGAGCAGAGACGAGAACCTACCAGTATCACAGGTCAAACGTCCCCCAAGAGTAGTCCTAGCAATTTAGGCATGAAAAATCGGATTTCTAGCTTGAAGTTAGGAAAATATAGCAAAAAACGGAGCTCCACCCAGCCAGCCTCTGAGTCAACCTTTCCTATAAAAACTAAATTTTCGAATGCATCCATTCACTCCCTTTCCAATCTAACCTGGCGTTCTGGAAGCGCTCTCTCCTCGAACTCGGAGCCCGAACCCCATTGTTCTGCTGCCTCGACGGAATCGCGCAGTGCAACGCCATTCCCCCAACATAGGCGATCTCTATTGCCATCACCTAGGATGTCAGAGCAGAGGTCTACTAGAAACCGTCACCAGACAACGGAGAGACGAGTCATAAATGAAGCTATGTTTGAGGGAAATACCCGTGGAACAGATGATAGAAGAACTAGTAAGGCCAAAAAGAAGGACATCATACCACCCGTACCCCAGATAACGGGACTTGCGATCTCGTCAGATGTTTCGTCCCCAGGTTCTGTTGAATCATCTCCAAATAGCTTTCCATCCACGCCCTTGCGAGATCCACGACTCACACCCAAACCCCCGTTCCCAACACATGGTGCATCTCGCCGTGGTAGCAGTATTAAAAGCCCGATAAACTCTTCACCATCGCCTATCACTCCAATGGACTTATCTCCCAATTTCCCCTTTCCAGACATACCCAATTCAGACTCATTGCAGACAGCAACGAAAAGAAGAGGCTTCCATGAAAGAACCCACTCGATCAACAGTTTGACAAGTACATCCAGCATGCCAAACTTTGCCTCCCTGGATAATTCTTCACCCCGCTCCGCAACCCGCCGATATAAACAGCGATTTTACCCAGCAGACGATTTCCCATCCGAACGGCATCCGTCACATGAGAGTGTGAATCCAGCCATCTTGAAGGCTAACTCCCGGAACACTTACACCTTTACACCGCGTGGAAGCATATCCACCGCCAATCTGAGCAATTTATCATCAGTATCGACAGCGACCTCGAGATCTAACTCTCCAGCTGATGGTAACAATTTGTCTTGGAATTACCACACAGGTACCTGGAACCCCTCCGAAGCCCCGGGAGCGGACAGCGTAAAAGCTCCGCTGAGGAAGTCGGCGCACTCGAAGGGTATTAAACGTCTGTATGAGACAAGCGAATCCGTCTCTCGTGTAGGGACTAAGGCCTTTAGCGGCCTTGGGTCTATCTTGCGGAAGAAGCACGTTGCGTCTGGCGATGAACGGTGGAGCTGAAATCGGGTGGTTTAAAAGTTATGGCGATTGGAGTTATCACTTTACGTACTACAGTACAGTTATATCAGCGATTATTTTGGGGTCTGGCACCTTACCTGGCTCTATTATTTCTTTTAACTGGGGATTTCTTGCTCTCACTTCCTTGCCTGTTGTTCCTGGCGACCCCCTCTATTTTTCAACCTCCTTACCTCCCTGTTATTGGACGACCCCTTCATTACAAAATTACTCTGATATTTGCCGTCTCTTCCTCTCTCTTGCAAAAATACATCACATCACCGAATCAATCCTTGATCCACCACCGTCCTTATGCACACTATTCCAGACTCTGCCTTACCACATCGGAGTGCCTGAGATCTGTCACTCCTACCTAATACCTCCCACACAGCCCTACACCCCAGATCTATTCAACCCCATGCTGAACCTTCGGCAGGAGGTATCCTCTTTTGAAACAATACTCGTTCCAAAATGACGTTTGCCCAAAGTTTCATCTTCTGTCTTCGTTAACCCTGGTCGAATATGTTTTGGATTTTAGGTTTCCTTTTTTTTTCTTTTTCGATTTCTTGATGTTATTCTTTTCCCCTTCTGTCAGGAACATGTGTATTCATACCCAGGAGCGTGTTGTCTATTGTGGTGATACAGCTGCTTCATTTATTTCACTTAATATTATATTTAGTTAATTATCTGTTCTCGAGTTGATATTGAATAGTAGTTAGTTATATAAATATGAGACTAACTTTCCATACCTCTCTAATTCGAATTTACTCTCTTGGTGTGATGGTGGTGGGGCCGTTCTCAGATTCTCAGATATTAACGTTTGGCACATCTAAAGAATATGTACCTATGAATTCACTAAAGCAATCTCATGGAAGAAATGGGGCGAGGAGATCTGACAGCAGACGAATTTCCTGGACGTGCGAGGATTCGAAAATCAAGCCATTTGAACTTCCACACTATCCGGTCTGAAACTCATCTCGAGCTTTATTTTCTGTTGGGCAGCGGCTACGGCTAGCTCAAGCTTAGCTCTTTTTTCCCTAATGACAACTCCCTGAAGTAGGATCTCGATTCTGATGCAGAATCAACGATTCGCAGAATTGTTCATTACCTCATTACTTCGTGTGGTACAGTATAGGTAAACCCGCATCGAGCCCGCTCCGTTTCCAAAGTCAAACTATGAACCACGCCAACATATAACGCGTGGCTAAACACATCCCGAAAGGTATCGAAAACCTAATCCCCGACATAAAAAGGAAAGAAGAAATAAAGGGAAGAACATCGCCCCCTATGAATCATCTGCCTTCCAGAAAATATTCAGAGCTTGCTGGCTTTCGCTAAGTCGATTTGGCTCCCCAAACATGGGGACCAAGCACAACTCATTTTCTGGTTCGGGAGACCAAGATGGCGGAGACTTCTTTGATGGACACCACTTTATATACTCACCAGATGCTCTATTTTGAACCGTTAAGCATAGTGGGGAGCTAATTTGGGTGATTTGGTAGGAATATGTGTCGATCGGACTGCTTGTATCGTAGATATCGCTATCACGATTGTTATTTCTATTCTTTTCGCAGAGGCGTATTTTTGAAAGGCAGTATGTGCGGAAGAGATACGAGACCCTCGCACATGTTAAAAATGTGGTGTTGTCGGTGTAGTCGAGGATCATGTAGTAGAGTTCATTCGGCAAGCGGCCCTGGGTCTCCGGACCATGAGGCTTTAGGCGGCGGAGTGTAGCGGTTGTGAAGAAGTTCGAGAGCGCCCTGAAGCTTTCTTTGCTCTTCAGTAGTGGAGGAGATATCTGAAGTTTGCCCAACGAAGTGTGGATGGGTGACTCGGGTGACGAAATGGCTGGGCCTTTACAGTTCTCGAATAACTCGAGGGGCTCCGTGTATTTCACCACCGGGATTCCATGCACATCTTCAACGTCAATAAGTATCACGGTTGATAGAGACAGTAAAATGGCTTGGAAGGCAAGTTTTCCTTGCTGAAGCCCAAAGCTGACAGTCTTGTCGACATAGATATGCCTCTGTTGTGGAACTTCCGGAACTAGGCTGACTAGGACATTATCAAACCAATAAATTGTTTCTTCAGGGGCAGATCCTGGGAGATGGCGTGCTAGATGGTATCCAAAGGCAAGCTCGGACGGCCAAGAAGCTTCATTTACTGGGTAGTGATCTGTCGACTCCCCAATTCGAAAGTACACTCTCCCGGATGCAAAAGAGATGATAGCATATCCAAGTTCCCGGAACATGAAATTAAGTGGGGACCACCTGGTGTATTCTTGAGAGATAAGTTGAGAATATACTCTTTTGAACTTGGAAAACGCCAGATCATGAAAGGGACAAAACGAGTCAAGGTCAGTAGATAACCATCTGCTGGGTGAAAGAGGAATTGTGCGATACTGGGTCTCATATTTGCCAAGATCACATTCCAATGCAACCGGCACGGTCGATGGAAACGGTATGAGGTAATGTGCTGCGATTGGGAGGCATGGCCAACGAAAGGAGGGAGCAGAAGGCGCAGCAAAGAATTTGTCACGGTCCTTGGGAAAATTGGTCAGACTGAGGTGTATCGTACGCCCAAAAGATACTACTTGCATGTCTAGATCAACTGTGAAAAGCGCAGAATAGTTGCCGCAACGTTTGGGTGGGAGTGGAGATGGTAAGAGGTAAAGGCCAACCTCCCGAAGTTTCCGCTTTACATACTCGGCGCCACGGGGTTGAGAACTATCCAGGGTAAACACGAAATCTTCGAGTAGTTTCTCCTTCGCAGCATACTCTTGCCGCCTCTCCTTGAGCCAAACTATAGTATCGAAGTAGTCGTTCGGATTAGCCTTTGCCTTCTGTGAATCCTCGGTTTGGCTTCAAGAAAGCTGGCATGTAACCTACTGATATATTCCACCTTATTTGCAGGTATTGTACACAGGATATCTGGACTATATGCGCTGTCAGAATTTGCAGAAATCTTTTGCACGTAGTATCTGCCACGATATACGACGACATAAATCCCTTGCTGACGAGGAGTTTGCCATGAGGTAGGAAGCATGGTGAGCAGTTTCCCGGCTGCAAGGGCTAATGTTGATATGGTCTCAGCGCCTATATAGCCTTTACAACGGTTCCGAGTAACGGGAATCTTCTTCGTTCGCCAAAAGCTAGCGGTCCGTCCCAAAGAATACTTGAGCGAAACTATGCTGTTCTCTGCTTCATAACGAGAAGGGCATTGCAATACAGCACGCAAGGCTTGGCATGTTCCTGTTCATTGCGATAGCGTAGATGCTGCTGGCTTGCCTGCGACGCATAAGTAATAACTAGCTCAGTACGTAAGCTGGGAGTCAGAATAACTTGCGGCTCTTCCGATCTTCCGTTAAGCTTAAAGAGTGAGTCTAACGCGAACTAGTTAGTTAGATGGCCCCACCCTTTAGTTAGTTACTAGTTGATTCTTCGTTACGGCCTCCGACCTGTGAAATGATGAACTTTCCTCTGCAAGGGCCAGCGGCGAGGGTCAGCGGCGGAAGAATTATTTTTTCCCCCACTCTTTCTTTGGCTTCATGATACATTGAGAAAGCCGGCAATTTTCCTCTCTACTCAGCCTTCCAATTCGATGCCCTCACTTTACTCACATACTATGTATGGTAGATCAATCAATGATTCAACATTATGGTGCTATCCCCAGAAAATCGCAACCTTCTCAGTGGCAATGTATTCGACTTTATCAATGTGCGGGAGCGTAGTGTCGACACCCCTTGTGGCTCTACTCATGTTATACGTGTACGGAGTACAGTAGTAGTGTAGTTGTTAAAGATGGTGGGTGCATTCATGATACAATCTCAAACGCTATGATTGTCACAGCTGTCAATAGCCTCACCTCTGCTAGCCGGAGATATTATTGATTGCATTGCGAATTTCTGCGAACCACCTACTGCCATGGCGGAGTCAAATGGTGCCTACAGTTGAACACGCGAAATCGGTGACCTTCTATTTATTCTTTCCAAAAGCTACCCGTGGTATATAGACAGATTCTTAATACGAAGTGACGCAGAAATTTCTCCCTAATGCCCTACGGACATTGTCAGCCAGCAGTTGCTGGCGTCTCCCAACTTCCCAAGGCCCCGTAATGTCCATGGTGTGGTTAGTTGATACAACATGCCTGCAGCACGGCGAGAGGATCAGAACAGTCTCGGCACTGGTGGTGTAAATCAGCTCCAACTACGCCGTACTCCGTACCTACCTGCTTCGGAATAACTGAAATCCACGCGGCCGGACATCGAGTTAATTCGACAACGCACGGAAGGTTTGTTCATGTCATTTAGCTAACATAGCCCTTACCCTAGGATGTTATATTCTTCGCAAATCTGACCAGCTGGCCTACTACTCAGTTTCCGAGCGGGGATAGATAGACCTTCGGCAGATCTCAATCGGACAAGCCATTGGCAACCACAAAAATTTGACACCAAAAGAAGTGCCGAGAAAATCCTCCGTAGTTCGTTGTGATGGAAGTCTGTGGCCACGAGGCGGGCGAACCCTAATGTGAAATAATTGCTAAACTTTAAACTTTGCTTGATTTGTTCAAGTAAACAGCAGGAGATTATTGAGACGTATAACCTGCACGCGAAAAGTGGATTATTATTAGCGTACTGCCGGCGTCAAATTATTGATTGCCACCACACAGTGACGACAGGCAGACCTTTCGTATTAAATATTATTCAATCCACCCTCTCCTATTTTGTATGATAGAGCTGTGCAAAATGCCGGGCAGTGAGTCTTCAAATAATGACAGGGTTTTTGAACCTGAAGAAGTGCCAATCTCATCATGTCAATGGCCTACCTCACCCTCACCTGCGTCACCGTCACCTGCATTATTACCTCCCACAACGCCTGTGACGCCAGCAGCTGCAACGTATGCGGATGATGATTATTCCACCCAGTTGAGTGTCCTGCCTGCTTTTCAAAGCTCCCAATCCACCTCCCAATCCACCTCCCAAACCGCCTCCCAAACCGCCTCCCAGTCCCGCCTACGTATTTCATGGAGTTCAGCAATGGATGAAGCTATGTTGTTGGGGCTGCTTGACGCGAAAAAGGATGGCTGGGAAACAGACAATGGAAATTTCAAGACTTATGGATGGAATATGGCAGTTGAAGCAGTCCGACGTGCCACTTATCAAACTGTCAATAAAAACAATCTCGATAATCGATGGAGGAGTAATAAACATACATGGCAGCTGTGGATGAAACACAAGAATCAGATCTCTGGCTGGACTTGGTGTGCAGATCGTGAGACTTACATTAATGACCCAGAAGTCATGAATGAATATTTCCAACACCATCCAGATATGGTTATATTTCAACATCAGGGGCCCGCGTTCCGAGAGCTGAATGAGCAATTGCTTGATGGTAAACTTGCTACAGGGCAGTATGCAGTTGGTTCTCGAGCTATGAGACGGCAACTCGGTATAGATGATGACTTGTATCCTCCTTCATCCTCTGCGTCAAATTATCTGCCCCGGGTGTCAGGCACCACTGCAGACAGTCCTTCTCCAGAAAGAAAACGTTTGAGAAAGGGAAAAAATGAGGCATACGCTGAACCAATATTAGGGCTTGGTTCAGTGTTGCGAGAAATGAATAAGGAGATTCTTAATGCCTTACGAGAGGTCCCTGAGAAGGCTCCTGAGAAAGCCACTAGATTGTTTCTGCAAGAAGTAAATGAAATACTTCCGGAGGATTGGAAGGATAGTGATGAGGTCATTCCATATCGGCGTTATGCTGCAATTCTACGCATTTTTGCAAGCAATCCTGCAATGGCTCAGGTTTATCTGGGATTCAGTAATAGCTCGAAGGAGCAGCGATGTGCTTTTATAATGGATATACTTGAGGAGTAGGGGGGGAAAAAGTAGGGGGAATGTGGGTGAAAAGTAGGGTGGTTCGATGAAGATCTTTGTACTGTAACTTACATAGTCAATCATAGTAGTTATAGAACAACATTCTAAGCCGAGTGGAGTTGGTTGACAAATCCAGTCCCGAAGAATCGGGCTTGGCAGGCGAAATCCTGGGTTCATCATTGTTCCACGAAGATTCGCTCTTTATGAAGCCATGAAGAGGTGCGTTTATCGAACCCTGTTTGCCTCTCTGGCCTCAATGGTTGTCAATCCGAAAGGCATTGGATTTGAACTACGAGATATACGCAATTTTTTTTTCCCTCTCCAACGCTAAATTACCCTGAAAAGCACGCAAACTAAAAATTCAATGGCAGTTCCACATAAAAAGCTTTAACATGTTGTCATACAAAGTTCTTAGGTCCCTTGGACCAGCAGAGCATATAACTATCAATAGGCCGAACGCTGGATATCGTTTTCCTCTTTTCCTCCCATATTCCTTTTAATTTTGTTGTTCTTCTTATTTTAATTTTTTGATTCACCTCGTCCTCGTCGCAAACCATACACACATCTAATGCATCAGTTTCGACGGCTCTATAAAAGAATTTTGCGTATTGCCAATGGAACCCACAAAGTCAATCGTTATCATCGGCGCTTCATGGGCCGGGGTTAAAACAGCGCACGCCATCCTGAAAAGCATTCCAGATGTGAGGGTCATCCTAGTAAACCCTTCGTCAAAGCATTTCTTCAACATCGCTGCTCCCCGCATCCTAGCAAAACCAGAAGCATTCAACCCGGATCAGTATATTCACTCCATTCCGGAATTATTCCAGGAGTACGATACGAAACTCGTCTCGTTTGTCCAGGGAGCCGCAAGATCAATAGACGTGGATGGGAAAACTGTCACCGTCGCTGCCACAGGATCTGAAGACATGGAACCTGAAGACTTGGTCATCTCCTTCGATTATCTTGTTATAGCTTCTGGAAGTACTACTTCCGCAACTATGGGCCAAGACAGCATTCTTGCACCCTTTAAAACAACCGGGTCAGATGATATCCAATCCACCATTGAGCAAACGCAGAAGACTATAGCAGAAGCCAAATCCATAATCATTGGAGGAGCTGGTGCTGCTGGTGTTGAATTTACCGGAGAGCTGGGGGAAGCATTCCAAGACAGAAAGGACAAATCTATCACCCTTTTAACACAGACAGATCGAATTCTACCTGACCTGAAACCTGCAGTCAGCAGGAAAGCAAATGATATCCTATCCAACCTAGGTGTCAACGTTCGTACATCCGCCATTGTCACTAGCGCTTCGCAAGATTCCTCCTCAAAAAAATGGGCTATAACATTGGGCAGCGGCGAGACACTCACCGCGGACGCATACATCGCAACTACAGGCGTCATTCCAAATAGCGACTTCGTTCCCACAGACCTAAAAACAGGCGAGGGGTGGGTTCCGGTTGATGCCGAATTCCGCGTCCAGAAGAAAGACGGGAAACATGGTGAGAAATTGCCCATTTACGCGGTTGGTGACATTACTACTCATACGCCTCGCATGTTGTTGACAATTGCCGGACAAGTCCCTATTCTAGTCGGCAATCTCAAAGCAGACATTGAGAAATCAGAAGGGAAGAGGCCCCAGTATTCAACGAGTGACAAAGTCCTCATGCTCGTGCCAATTGGCGCGCGGACGGGGACGGGCCAGCTTTGGTTCTTTGTTGTATGGGGATGGCTTGTCGCGCTCCTGAAAGGAAGGGATTATTTCCTCTCTAGGGCTAACGCTGAACTGAGGAGTTGATAGGGGATTGTCTCTGTCTTTTCCCCAACCCCGGCCTTCATAATATGCATGCAATCCCCTGTCGACCTCTTCCGGTTCCATCAACAATGGCAGTTTATTATATTCCTTTATTATGTGGTGGTTGTGTCGCCGGACTGGCTTTGTTCGCTTCTTGTAACTCAATAGATACTATTCCCTTTGTTCAATCACCGCCTTGTGCCCTTGTTATCTTTTAATATCATTATTATACATAATGCAAAAAACATACTCTATATTGGTTCTTTTTAGCGGACCTCTTAACCCCATTGACTCCAAAGAAAGAAAATGGTACCCATTCCGGAAATAGGGGAGTTAACATCCGCGGTCATCCTTACAGTCTCTACTAAATATAGACCAGTGTTCAACTAATCTTAACTTTTTTCTCTCTTGATTATTGCCATAATCTTAGTTAAAGAGAGTATTACACAGATAGCTGCTGAAAAGTCTAGTATTAGAGATCTTCAATATCTATCATAAGATAAATGGATAAATGTCAAGAATGTAAAAAAAATCCTTTATCAGCTGGTATTTTTATGTGTAAGAGCTTGTATAACTACACCATGTGAAAAATTCTAGTGCCGATGTGATGTTCTGTATGCGAACAAAATCTCAGATAGGGATGACTGTTGGCATTTATCTACATACACCATTATGCAACAATATAGCTTTCCGCGATCTAGGATATGAAAACAGTGCGTAGGTGATAGGAAAATGCACAAAACCAACACCAGCCTTGAACGGCACAGTTCGCTCCTCTAAATGGGCAAACGCACCCACGCATCTCCCGTGTCTCAACGTTCAGATATGCTGTGCAATCCTCCATCCTGTCAACATTCCTAGCTGGCCACGGACGGAAACCCTTATTACTCCGTACTGTCCTATGTACATGTACAACAAGGAAAGGGAAAAAGAGATAAGAAAAGAAAAGAAAAGAAAAGACTTAAAAACAAAATAAGAAATAAGAAATAACAAATAAACAATTGCATTACTTTTCAGGGGATCCAGGGGCTGCATATCTGGGGAGCACATATGTCTAACTGTATATGAACTGTACTTAGGTACAGATAATATATCCTGCAATGTAAACTCAACTGCATACGTGAGGATAAGTAAAGGAGTTTTGGTATAAAGTCGGTCATACCCTAGGTATAGTACAAACAAATCACTACATCTTGTTCTGCTTGGTTTGATGTATATCAGGACGATATACGGAGGACAGAGTACCAACGTGTACAGCAAAGTCCAGTCCAGATCTCACAAGAGTTGATTCAGACTGCCATTGCATAGTGTTTGGGAAAAGTAAATAGGAGAACACACATAGTCAGCGGGTGCTTGCACACGTCGTGTTGGTTCCTCACTAAAGCCTAGATATAACTAATATTGCGACGAAGCCCCATACAGGACGAAACTCGTTTCTTCCATTTATAGATATCTGAATCTTATAATCTCTATCTGGATAAATGCAACATTTGCCATGTACAGGATATAGACATGAGCCTCCTAGCATAGACCACCGCGCGTGGTGATAACGACCCGAGAATGCAAGATCATGGGATTCGAACATGCGTCATTCTGCATATGTTGTCAGTCGCGTGTTCTAGAATATGATTCGGTCTAAAATATGCGTGTAAAGTTTGGTAAGTCTTATCACAAAACAAACACCAGCCAATGTAGATTATAGCCATTCGCTTTACCTTCCAATGGATAAATAGACATACTAATTAGAACAGGATAGGCTACAACATCAACGACACCCCCTGCTATCACCACTACCTTCACACTCACCAAAAACAACTGCAACAACAGGCGCAACGGGGGCGGCACAAGGGAGGCGGCAGCATTTAGCAACTATGTATCAAGCCACGGCAGCCAGCCAACCACCATTAGTGCCATAGGGGAAACAAAAAAAGAAAAATTGGTTGATTGAGAAATATAAGAAGGGGCCAAACAGGATAATGCAGGGAAACCACCTGTATCACATTGTGTCACGTCGCTGTTCAGCAGCTTCTGTAGCATCCGAATCCGACTGAGAGGTTGCAGTCGTCGATCTTGTCACACCAGAACTCTGAAGTTTGTGGTCGAGCGCTCTTCTCTCTTCGTCTGCTGCATGTGGAGTGACTATCGCAACTTCCTCTCCAAAGTTTTTGGCGATTTCTTCCAACGTCAGACGGGCGGTTTCGGGGAAGAAGAAGTAGATAACTATTCATTCGTGTCAGCACGCTCTTTATGCTATGCGCTAAATGATTTTAATTGGGTGTGGGCCGACTGATAAGATGTTCGTCAGCTAGAATGGATATCCTAACTTACCCGGGATGAAGAATGCAGACCAGCAAATAATAACGAGATAGTACTTCCAGCCTACGTTGGCAAATCCTATTGGAGCGGTTTGGAGAAGAATGATCGTCGCTGCGCAATCGTTAGTAAATGAGTTTGCTAAGGCTGTATGAGTTTGTGTATCCTCAAGTGCCTGCTTACATGCGAACTGGCCGAAGAGGGAAAAGCCCATCCCAATTGGACGAATCTCCGTGGGAAAGATTTCAGACACGTATAGGTACATGGTAGTGTCACAGAAGGTACTGAGATGAGTGATTAGTTGATAAGTTTCACGAAGGACCACGACAAACTCACCCTTGGAACGCGAGATACAAAAAGATGAAGAAAATCCCCAAACCATTGCCAACTCGATTGAGTGTGCCGGCATACTTGGCGGTCATGGCTGCTAAGCATGATGTCGTCACGACGATCCCGATGAAACCAACAAGAAACATGCCTCTTCGAGAGTTTACTTTATCATGCAACCATGCTCCGCCAGGGTTATAAATAAGGCCTGCGGTGGTTAACCATAGTGCGCTAAGGAGAAGCGGCATATGGCCGGTCATGCCTAAGTTTTGATACAGCAGTACTGCATAGTTATTCTAAACGCGGCGTTAGCAATGAATCGTAGCTACCGAGCAAGTTTGCCATGTGTGGTGAAACTCACAATAATGAGGGGGCCGCCAAACTCTGCACCCCACTGCGTCAAAAACCCGATGGTCATCCGCTTTCTGTAAGACTTTTTCTTGAACACGGCAGTCCACACACCATGGCCTGTTGTAGCAAGCTTTTCGGCTTCAAGTTTGAGCTGTTCTTTGGTCTGGATAAATTCCTCCTTCGCCACTAAGTTGTCTGGATCTTCTTTTGACTGCCGTAGTCGTCGAATGACCTCCCAGGCTTCATCAAGTTTCCCTTTTGATATTAGCCACCTGGGCGATCTTGGAAGCCAAGGGGACCCTATCAGCAAAACTAGGGGGCTTAGAGTCTGCAAACACAGAGGGAACCGCCAGGCGAAAGTGGGGCTTTTTGCTGTTGCAAAGTAACACCCATAACCAACCCAGCTGGAGAGCATGTAGCCGAAGACCAAGAATATTGGATGGTGTCCCACCAACCAGCCACGTACAAAGGGGCTCGACATCTCTGCGAGATACATTGGACAGACGGTGACGAGAATTCCAATTGCAGTACCAGAGACAAATCGACCGGCTTGAAACATCCTACCTCTAAAGTTAGCTTTGAGCTGTCACCGCTGCCAAATAGTCAGCCATACTTCAAGTTAACCGCTGCTCCCTGTAGAGCACCACCTAGTACAGCTAAGAACGACCCAAGTTGGATATTCGCTTTGCGACCTACGGCTTCGCAAGACCACATCATAAACAGAGACCCAACAGCGCCTCCAGCGCTAAAGACTCCGTTCGCAGTAGCAATCGCATTGGTCGTGACCGTGGTATAACCAGGCTGGCCCTGCAATGGGAGCTTGAAAAAATCGTACCAGCCAGGTTGACCGATAGTGCTGCCTATGACAGACGCACAGTAGCCATATGTCTAAAGGATATCCGAAGCAGAGTGGTTAGCTCAAGCCAGCGTTGAAAGTACAGTGAAGCGCTAGGATACCAGGGAAAGACAATATCACGTACGAAGGACCCTAGAGAAACGAACACTATCACTAATCGATTATATCGACTAGTTTGTGCTCCGAAATTTGCCATATTGAGCCCAAGGTTGAAGAGATCAGTGATTAGTGAAGTTGGAGTTAGTGGGAGGGAGAAGGAAAGGTCTTAAAACTTAAATACCATGAAAAAGGGGAGAGGAGTGGGGACAAGAACAAGGAAGAAAGCCAACAGAAAAAAAGCCCGAGAGGTCCACTCAAAGAAAGGTGAAGAACAATGTTCTAGGGAATAATAAGGACACAGGCAATTGTAGACTGTTTTAAAGGATCAAGCAGGTTGAGATGTAGTACGGGATATGTCTCTCCTGCTTGTGCTCTGCAATACCCGAGCAGCGCTTCAAGATCACCATGCCAGGGACCAAAGAAAAAAAAGAAAAAGGAAAGGAAAAACGAGAATGAGATGTTCTCAGAACCCGATGTGAGAACCATTTGGAATGCACGAGAGGAAGACAGATAATTGATGAAAAGAAGCTGGCAGTATCGAGCTATACATTTCGCAACATTAGACTTGGCTGGTAAGACCAACCATCCCCAAGAATAGCAGGGAATCCTATAGGTAGACCGATTTGGAAATGAAAAGGAAATCCTAGTAACTGTCAGAAGTTACAAGATACATGGTCATCAAAGCCACGAGTTTCTGTGTAATCAATTGTCAGCCATTGCACCGCCTTGGGATATATTCCTTTACCGCGCAAGCCTGGACCACCATATCTCCATACCGCCAACCTGGGTGGAAATTCTCAATTGAATATTCACAAGAGAAGAAAGAAAATGAAAGAAACGGAAAGAAAAAACAAAGAGAAGAGAAGAGCTTCAAAGAAAGTCTTCAATTTTTTTCGTGTTTTAAGTTTCCGATGCAGTGAGGACTTGGGCCCCTTTTTTGCATATCGTTCCCTAACTTCACTTGTACCTGGACCATGTTCATCGGTGGTTTTCCCGGGCGCGGGAGGTAGAAACGGCATCAAGCAATTTGCCAGCATCGCCTGAGGAGGTTTGCAGTCTATACATACGCCAGTCAACGTATCTATCTGTTGCCTTGGCCGAGCTGATTGATCGCTGGCTAAATATCGGCGACGGAACCGCACACTATGCCAAATTAGCCAGGACAGATGCCCCCGCCAGTCAGATCATAACTTTTGGATAGACCGACGGCTAGAGTAAGTGGGAAGCAATGCTCTAGCTATCTGCCAACCCGCTTGAATCTATTTGTGGGAAGCCTGACAATTGCAATGTCGGTGATGTTTTTGTCTTGCACCTGATGACTCAGCAGCTCAGCCCCTAAACTTTCCGGTTGGCTTGAACCAAGATCATCCAAACCACAGGAGCATTGCCGACTCGCGATCGTTCGCATTATTTCCGTCGTTTATTTTCCAAACCCCTTTGATTCCCGGAAATAAGCTGCATTGTGACTTTCCGGAACTCTCCGAGTATCAGAGGCTGTTGGGTTACCTGAGTTTGTGATACTCGCGTGGTCTGATAGCGTGGGTGATGTTGGGCTTGGATCAAGCGAAAATCTGCAGCTTAGCCCTTTACCGCCGATTTATATCGGGAACAGCAGTCTGGAAATGAATATCGTGTTTAATACTAGCATGATGGTCTCGTCGTTGGAGATGATTTCTTCCGTTCGCCAGATTTTTTTTTTTTTTTTTTTTTTTTTTTTTTTTTTTTTTTTTTTTTTTTTTGCTGAGCTACCCGTTATATGGAAATGCACATGCTGGGGATGTAATTTTCCCCGTTCTACGGAGTCTATCCACCCCCGATTTGGCCATATATTTATGTGGCATTTATCAGTGGCTGGTAGAATTATTCCTTCTTGAACTAATTGAGAATCGAAGAATGCCTCCATCTACGATTATCTGTGGTTTTCGACGGTGCAAAACCGAATAACAGAACCCTCAACGCATTCAATCACACCATTGCTTTGTTATCTAACGGGCTAACGTGACAGGTCTCTGAGCATAATGCCGTTATATACGGGAGAGGTCTCTTGCAAAACTCGTGGCAAGAAGTACTCTTTTGCTGTAGAGATAATTCGAATAATGGGATTATTACCACAATAAATGTTCTGCAATCATCCTCTCGCTTGGAGCACGCCTCAGGGCATTTTAATCACCTCCTAGGGAACAAATCTCACCACTCATTCATCATCAATCTTGGAGAGCCTGCTCGAGTATATAAAGGTATTGAGAGTGTCATTGTTTTGAATCGAAACCAGCATGTAGCCTGGGCCTGATTCCCTTGTGTCACACCATGATGTTGCACATAGTGGGATTGTACGACATTAAGACAAACCTCAATCTCGATTTTTAGTTCTCCCACTCTTAATATATCTCATCGACCACAAATATATATCATTGCCAAAGAACAAACGCCTGCAACCATGGCCCAGACATCGCCATTCGACACCCCCTTCGACGAGCTCCCAAACCCTCGCCAGGTATGGGTAGGCACGCCGGGGAGCCCGGAGGAAGGGATGGGAAAACTTTCCCTTTTGACTCCAGCAGTCGTCTCCGAAGCAGCAGCAGAAATCAAAACAGGCATGCGAGTGACCCTTGGTTGGGAGATGACGAAGCTTGAACTAGCAAATCTAAACCGACAACCGTGCCAGCATCATATCATCTCCCTTCTAAACGGTCTTGCCTTTGATGATGTTTACATCATGAACCCTCGTGCGTTACCTAACAAGTGGCATGTCTTTGTTGAGAGTACCTTTTAGTTAACAGGTGTATAAGAACAAAGCAGCCAGTGGGACGGGCTACGTCATTTTTCGCAATCAGTGACTGCCACCGATGGCAAGGCCGCGGAAAGAGTTTTCTATGGAGGAACAACTGCCAGTGAAATACTCAATCGATCAAACGATCGCATCGGGATGCAATACTGGGCTCGTCAAGGAATTACAGGTAGGGCTCCCCACATTCTTTGACGCGGTCTATATATAGCATTGTGATAATTCGCAAAAGCGTTCCTAACGTACTTCTTTTCGCCTCTTACTTTAGGCCGTGGGGTTCTCATTGATTATGCCTCCTACGCCTCAAAGAAAGGGATTAAATATAGCACCTTTTCAACCCATCAAATCAGCCTATCGGATATCTTAGAGATCGCTGCTGACTGTAACCTGACATTCAAACGTGGGGATATTCTATTTATTAGGATCGGGGTGACCAATGAGTGGGACAATGTGATGACCGATGATCAAAAACGGGCATACTCGGTGAATCCGAAGCCGGAACATGCGGGCGTTGAAGCTACTACTCAAATGCTCCGCTGGCTATGGGACACTGGATTCTCTGCCGTTGCAGGTGATGCTATCAGCTGGGAAGTGAGTGCGTTTCTGATCGTTAAGCAGATCTACAACGGCCTTGTTTATAAGGGTAAATAAATATGCGTATGATCTCTTGGCTGACATGGTGTATTCCGCTTCCAGGTCTATCCTCCGCAGAACCCAGATATCTTCCTGCACGAGTATCTGCTTGCAGGCTGGGGAGTTCCAATCGGTAAGCAAACCAAGGATTCATGATCTATAGATCTACCCTGTTTATTTGGTTTGGAGCATCACCACGTCCCTGGGTTTGGTGAAGATGCTAACCTTACTTACCATATAGGAGAGCTTTTCGACCTCGAAGCACTATCACGCACCTGCCATGAACTGGGCAGATGGACCTTCTTCCTCTCGTCAGTGCCCCTTAATATGCCTGGTGGCGTTTCTTCGCCGCCAAACGCAATTGCAATTTTCTGATCGGGGTTGTCTAAATGAACATCCTCGATGGTGTGTTTCATCGCTTTAAATTGAAACGGGTCATACAGAAACGGGAAGAGAATGCAGAGTAATTTGATAAGCTTTCGGCTCCACGACCCCTTTTTTATCGAATTTCTAATATCCAATTTTCATGAGCTTTTCAGGATCTCCATTCTCCTTATCTGCATCTTCCGAAGAATTATTGGCTACTCACAAATGATTTGACTTACACTTTGAGTTTACTTTCGGAGAGGGATAGTAATCCTAACAATTATACGGCAGTTTCGGGATATTTTTTACCCTCACTAAGTTGACTTGAGTGTTGATACCATCCATATTAGTCCGCGTTCTCTCCGCGTCTCCCACCCTTCTTCACCTGAAAAGATTAAAGCAAGATTTCCAATCTCCTCCCTACAAGCTTGAACGAGTATACACAGTATCAAACTACTGTTACTCTAAACCTTACGCAGCTGCACACTTCTCAAATCGCCAACCTCCCCCTATGACTTAGCCCCGCCCTACACCATCAGCTGCAATCCAATATACCGAAGCCGCAAACATGTATATTGTAAATCTACTTATCAAAAGGAAATAGTATGCGTAGCGCATAGCCTTTATATCATCCGGTCCCCACAGTACATCTGTTGTGGCTGAGCCCACAGCATTTAATAAGACGCTCAATATGCAATAGTTGCTCTTAATTACAACAACTCTCTTATCATCAGATATACATCTCCAGTACGCCCGCGAATTAAACCCACCCACGCACGCGTCTCTTCCTTCCCAGAACCCTGCCAGTGATTTTGTAGTGATTTTGTATGAGCTGTACATACCCGACCAAAAAACAAGGTGTCACAAGCATAAAACCCCAACTATGAAAACTATCGTTTTATATGAGTATTATAAATCATCTACTATACGTGTAATGTACTGTACATGGAGACACCTAGGTATCTTGTACAGTCCATACCCAGCAAAGTACAGTACAGGCTTGCTTTATCCCGCACGCTAGCCCAACGGTTTCAGAGGACGCCCACCTGGTTGGTGCATTTTCAAATATCTACCTATATAGTTGTTACCATCCAGCCTGTCTGGGCTGGCTATGCAACAAAATTTCGGATTGACCGGACGACCTGGGCTTGATGCCGTTTTCATCAAACTATAACCAATTTTCTTGGGAGGGACATGCCATGACCCCTCCGCTCGGGTATGTCGATGGAGTTTCGAATGGAAGGGCTGGGAAAGGGCGGCAGTTAAGTGGATGGGGAAAACGCTGGTTCATGTATATCATATATATATATAAATGGATAGACAGATTGTGTCAGTTGTTTAGGAGTCAGCCCTAGGCCCCTAGCCCTATAATGAGAATGGATAAACACATGAGAAACCAACTCTATTATAAGTGGCGGAGTATTTGTTCGGATAACAGGCATGAGTTGCAGGATAAAGAAAGTAAAAAGATGTCTTTGGCACAATATTGCATTTGGATGCACATGGCATATATGTATCTATGATGTTATGAGTGCTGTCAATTGCTTTCTCAAGTTGGCAAGCAGAAAGATACCGATACCTAGGGACTCGCTCGCATCTTGCTCAGTCAATTATTCTATGCTAGGTAGAAATGTCCCTGTAGATTCTCACCAGCAGTAACACATAAATAACTCCTCACGCAGCTACAGCCCTGAACACCTCCGCACCTGGGCCTTTTATTAATGGGCGCTCATTATTCAGAAATATCCCATATCACGGGAGACGGGCCACACATGACGGAGCCCAAAATAAGATAGATACGGACTCCACCGTCGTGGCAAAGCACCCCGGCTTCCCGGGAACTCGAAAATTCTGTATCCAACGCGGCCAAAACCAGGTCCCCGGCGGACCTTGCACTTGTAACCGGAGCTGCACTGGATCTTGTATCTCAACCCCCTTGGCCCTGGTATTTTGTATCTCCTTGTAGCTGTTTTCCCAGCAGGCATTGGTCATTGGTCATTGGTCTTGCTCTGCCGGCCCTTGTACCCCCTTTATCCCTCCTCCTTGAGACACGACTGGGCAATGCGGGGCGCGAAGGGAAGCCGTCGCTTACTTGGCTTTTAGCAGGCAGAATTAACGGCCCTCTGCTATTACACATGTTCCACACCCTAATTTAGTACAAGCTCAGACCATCGAGTTCTTAATCGGGTCCCTCAAAGTGGGAGAAGGCGGAGTCTTGGGACACGGTATAGCGACGGGGAAAGGAAAAAAAAAAAAAAAGCCTTAACCCATAGTCTCACGGATGCACATGATAGGAGAGGCAGAATGTGTAGTTAACCATCGATTCTATTCGGACTCGGAACAAAACGCAGGGGTCATTTCTTGTTCAGGCGCAAACACATCAAAAGACCTACACAGGGTTCCCCTCTAGCACAACGCAGCACAAGAGGTAACACCATGTTAAACCCTCGATGTAGCGAGAGTAGCTCATAGCCAAATTCGATCATATCGATTTCAAATAGGAAGAAAGGAACAAAAATATATGCACATTTCAATGTATGATCCGCGTGCCCAGACCCTGGCATCTTGTTATATTCAGTTTGTCCGCTTAGACAAACATAGAGAAGGACTGAGGGGTCGTTCTGAGAGGTATGTACATGTACAAAACATACCTGCATTAGCCATAAGTATAAAGGATTGGTGTTAATCTGTTTACTCATTCGGCAACGGCCGTCACACACGGTGATCCAAACGGTATTTCCTCCTCCTTTTCAGATGTAAGATAAGAAGGGGACAGGCTCACTCTTCATTTCCTCCAGACATAACAGAGCAATGATATTTTTTTCCCACTTCTATTTCCGTGTTGGCAAACCTAACCGCTGATAATGAAATTGTGGGATCAATATCGGAATTTTTGTTAGGTGTGGACGGAGACTGGCCCGGACGGAGTTCAAAGAGAAACGAGGGAGACAGCAAAAAATAAAATCACACTGTTTCAAGGACAGAGATCAAGCAACGGCGACTAAACCTTGCTATATATCATCTTGTTCCGGCGGGCGAGCCTCTCCTGATCTATCCATCCATCCATCCATCCATCCATCCAGCCAATCCCCGCCCCCCCCTCCCATCCCACCCCCTCTTTTTATATATTTCCCTTTTCTAGTTCGTTTGTTGAGTTTTCATGATTTGTCTGACTCGGAAGTATATGGTTTGATTGAGGGTTATTGATTGAAAAGTACTTTTGCTTTTCGCCGTTCGTTTAACACTTTTCGTCGACGAGGGCAGGATCAGAAAAGGAAGAGGAAGCACAGAAAGGGGTAAGAAGGCAAATAAAGAAGAGATAAGCAGTATACCAGGTAGCCTCTGAAGGGGAAACCACGGGGGAAACCCAAAATATGGCATCAATGGCCGCCGCAACGGAACCAGCTCTGGCGCCTCCATTGGGCATCGAGTCCAACTTCGACGGGCAGGAGGAGGCATTGCATGTATGGAATCTCGTCACGCAGGGGCTCTGCATCTCCTTAACGTCGATATTTTTCTTCTTGCGGATGTACGTTCGAGTCTACGTTAATAGGGGGTTCGGAAGGGAAGACTGTAAGCTGCAGCTGCTTGTCCTGACCTTCATAATTTGCCGCAAATAGGAGCTAACGAATATAAAAAAGGGTGTTGTTCTCTTGCCTGGGTACGGTCATCCACAAAACGTCTGTTAAGCTACAGGGACAATATAGCTGACTTAGCTCTTTAGTTTCTCGGAGTTGGATATTCCATCATTGCGATTCTGAGTCCGTATTCCCCTGAAATATAACCCATTTGTTTATTCCATTCAGTAGACTGACTCAGATCTTTGCAGTGGGTAAATATGGTGGTGGGTATCACCAATGGGATGTCCCGAAGTCGGACATTGTCCCGTTCAACAAGGTACGTAAAAACATAGCATCAGACACATAGTATCATATCACCCATCAGGGTGTAGTGCGCAGATACTAATGACATAAAACCGCCATCCATCGAGCAACAAAAATAGACCGTGTACGGAACAATGGTCATATACGGGCCGGCCGCATTTCTCACGAAGGCATCCATCCTCCTCATCCTAACCCGAGTTTTTGCACCTTACCGCAAGACAGTAAGGTTCATATACGTATATTTTGGGGTCCTGCTCGCATATTATGTCCCCGCGATCATCGTTAAGGTCCGCATCTGCATGCCCATCTCGTACTTTTGGATGGGCCAGGATTCGGAGGGATCCTGCTTGGATGAACGCGCGATTATTCTGGCCGATGCAATTATCAGCGTCGTGAGCGACCTGACGATCCTGGTCCTGCCGCTTCTCCTGACCCATTCGCTGCAAATGTCTCTCAAGAAGAAAATCCGCGTCATTGGCATCTTGGGGGCTGGTGGTTTGGCTTGTGCGTCGAGCATTGTGAGACTGGTCCTGATTGTTCAGAAGGGGAACGCCAAAGACCAGACTTATGTGTTCATGCAAATCAATCTCTGGGGGTAAGCAATTAATAAAGTGCAACCCGCTCAACTTATCTTTTAGGTAGCTAAAATGAAATCGACAAACATAGTAACGCGGAAGTGAGCATCGGAATAATCTGCGCCTGTCTCCCATCCCTGGCCGCGCTGCTCAACCGCATATCGAACGAATACATGTCGCGCAATGGCAGCCGGAGCTATGACTGCGAGCTTGCTGGAACAGACACACTGACAGGGTCCAAAATAGCTGGGTCCCAAGGGAGCTTTAACGATGCAGGATCTGAGCAAGAAATCCTAGCCTCACACGCACAATCCGACATGAAGGTTGAAACTGCTATCCGAGCAGATGAGCCAGGAACGATGCATTCGCACCACCGCGCGCTTCACTCTTTTACCGGCCGTGGGATCATGAAGACGGTTGATGTTTCGCATACAATCACCACCAAGGAATAAATTCTGAGGGAAGATGTCGAGCGGATTGGAAGTGGTTGGTGCTTCGATAATAACTTGATCGGTCCCTGGTTACGGAAGAGCGAGATATTGGCTGGACTGACAATAACGCAACTTCATTCAATTTCAATAACCAGTTAGTTATTTTTTTTCTTCTTTTTGGCAGAATTCTGAATCGATCACAGTGTGTTATAGCTTCCGCGTAGTTTTTTCTTCTCCAGAATTTGCTCTTCGTGTGGTGAACGGAAAGAAAAGAGAAGAAATAGCTGTCATCCATGGATCTCTCTCATCTCATCAATCCACGCCTCAATCCCGTTCCCAATGCTGAATGGCTAGAGAATTCTATGTCGAGAATTTCCGTCAACGAGAGCCCCTTTCCCGCCCTCTTCATCTTCATACATAACTGCATTGCGAAGTCAGTCAACAGCTGTAAATCCTCATTTCATCCACTTGACGCGTTGTGTCATCGCGTCTAAACATGGCATTCTTTGACGCACCCCTGGGAAGCACTGGGACACCGCCGAGATGCTTCTCGTTTCACCAATCGTTACTCCAAGTGCCAGGCCGGCTTCGACTCCCCTCCCCTTCCAAAAGATGCAAAGTCACACCATTAGCTGAACCCTCGTCTGCGAAGAAAAATCGCGCTCATTACGAGCACCGCTTCTGCAAAAGTTTGTCTAGAGACTGTCCAGCGGTCGAGCTTCCCAAATCCTCTCGGATGGCCCTCTTTTACCCCTCAAGCTCGGATTGGTAAGTATAACATAAGCGTCCGAAGTTTCTTTCATCAAGAAGAACAACCGACTAACGCTATTGTTGTAACGTTATAATAATAATTGTTGTAGATGGGAGTCGAACCTTTCTCCCACATCCACAATGCGCGTCATGAGCGCCTCAGCAACCTCCCCTGTCACCGGTACGACATATTACTCTCCCGTTTGACCTTCGAGATGACCCAGGCACATTTGAAAATACCGAAAACAGAAAAACGTCCCGGAGAATATTGTCTCGGGGCCGAACCTATGGCATGTTTCTCTAACGTTAACTTTAAAACTATCTCCTTCTATTATTATCTAACCAAGATGTCGCCCAAGCCTTTGCCAAGAACAAATAGCGGGACCTCAAATCTCCGGAGCGGGCCCAGCATATAAGCCTCGAATTGAGGGGACTGGGAGCCTTTCTTTCACAATATCAGAAACCTACTTCCAAGACCAAGGCATTTCGATCGCTGAGGTGATGTACAGAGTACTTGACTGGTTACCGTCGTCATCGCTTGCCACATCCATCAGGCGGCGAAAATCACCTGTTTTTACACGACAAGCACCGACCAGGAAGCAATGTATATAGAAGCGCTCTTTGGAATGAAGATGGGGACGTCCTTGGGTTTTCAGATATGCCCTAAAACGCGGGGGAAGTTAATGTAGGATTGGATTGGATTGGTGTACTGGGATCGCGGCCGTGGAGCTTATTTATCGAAATAAATAGGGCACAGTAACTCATTTTTTAAAAAGGCATTACTGCAGCTGGTTTATCCAGATAATGCAAAAGCACATACAAACTCATGTGCGTGTCTTTCATGGCATTTTTCCACGTCATTTTCTTTCTATCTTTAGACTGACTGATATGCAATAGAGTTAAGATATGATTTATGAAAACCACCTTCCTTTTCCAATACTAAACAAAAAGCACGAAGCTTGTTGTTCGTCTTCGCAGTGTCTACTGCAGTCAACCACTACTATATTTTCGTTCCTGGCTTCCTGACATTAGTTGTATAGAGCCCTACTAACCATACAATAAACCTGTGCTGGGAGATCATTGCTGTGAAACATTTATTATTAGTCTCTCACTCTATCTATTAAGCAAATAGTTCAATAGAAAACATTGTTCTTGTAGAGTAGAAAAGCTGCTCATTCTGGGGAGTACTCTATACTGGGATACATGAACACGATTAATCAGAGTTAATGACAAGAATTGAATATAGCATCAATCTGAACTTCTCATTCGCCCGTAAACCGTGTAGAGGCGAATGGATGTGTGTGTACATGTATATAAATGGTTGAACCTTACATTCAAATCCATACATTTATGTATGGATAGAATAATAGTAATTCAAATAATAGTGAGAGGTCTGGATGTTACATCTACAGACAAATATCAAGCTGTTCTCAGGGAATCATTTACCATATAGACATTGAGGTACATGTACATATGCAGACACACGATTGGAAGTGATAGAGGACAGTATGGGACTTGCCATACTTCAATCCTTCGTAGTAGTATTAATAATTACAGATGTACGGAGTGACTCTGGGTGACGCCTAATTTGATTGCACTGGTTGTGGCCTTGGGTACATTTTATGTGGCACTTCATTTTGAAGGGCTCGCTGCTTTTATTGGGTGTTCAGCCGCCAAGTGGCTGCTTTTACTAAATTTACTGATACCAGCACTTCTATCCAGACTCAACCCATGAGGGCCAAAGCAATCAAATCCACCATGGCTGGGTATATATACCACTATGCCCCCGAGTGTGTCCCAGATGGGATATACATGAATTGCTTTTCATCTCATACAAAATCATGTTCTTCTATTCTATTTAGCACTAAGATCTGAGCCTTATCATGATGAATAAACCTCAAATTGAAAAATGCAAGAGTCATTATATGAAGATTGTTCACAGTCCATCTTGAGATGTTAAACCAGATCTTGAGAATTCAACAAAAGTTAGCATGCAGTGGGTGAGAAACTGCTATAAAAGATAAGTTTGTATAACTCTCTTCATTCTTCTAATCATTTACTTATTTCTTTAGATTTGTTAAGAAGAAGCTTAATTCACTCATTTCATACTACTGAATAAAGAATTTGATAATGAATCTTGTTGAGACCTTTCTACACTGATATCTTGATAAGTATAATGTGAAATCTCTATCAGGCTTCCTTATACTGATTTATTTCTGAAGAATATATTATTACTATGAGATGAATAAAGACTTTCTCTATAATCTGAAGTATAAGATAAAAGAGATATATCTATCTGTGTTATGAATTTAACAGATATATCTCACTGTTTCTGTAGCTCATCTGTACTATAATCAAAATTGAATACAGTCTATGTGAGATAGTTAAGTCTCAGTCATCTTACAATGCAGATTCTCTTCTCTATCTTTTACATACTGCAGCTCTATCTGCAGTGTTCTTTTCAATACATAGACAGAGAAGTCAGTATAAAATAATATGAAAGATGATAACAGTAACATCTACACACTCAGAAATCATTCTTAAAAGCTCAGAGTACTGTAGAATGAATGATGCTCTTCTCTGAGAAGATCTTGAACTCTTTATAATTACAGATTCTGAGTATTCATTCTGTCAGATTCTTCTTATAAGAGTGATATATTAACTCAACAAAGATAAGTGAAATAAGAACAAGCTGTAAGTTCTATCACTGACTCATCTTTTGAATTTAGAACTGATCTTTATCTTCAGTTCAATCTTTATATACACTGAATGAAATGATAATCTAGCATTTTGTATCATTCAGAATATAATAGAGTTTGTATTTATGAATCAGATCTTCAGCAGTGAGTATATCAAGAAGCCTCAAGATATCTGATATCATATCAAAGTGCCAGCACACAGAAAAAGCACACTGATTCATTTTAAAGCTTTTATAAAAGATGTGCCTGTGTTCTGATCTGAAGTCTGTGACATGTATGAAAACTGAATTACTCATTCAACAAGGGCTCTAACAGCAGTTCAATTTAAAGAGAATGAGACAAAGTTATGTATAGACACAGGTCTTAAGAATCCAGGCTCATTATACAAGTACAGAAAGGGAGCTGCAGTGCACTTTGACAGTTGATTCATCTCTGTAGCTAGAGAATATATAGAGTCTCTGACATGTGCTGCTATACAGGGAATACAACTGAACATTGAAGAAATCATATAATGAGTCATGCAGAGAGTCATATCTTTCAGAAATATATTAATCAATGTGTGAATATGAATATGCAGTCAGTGTTTCTTGAAACAGTAATTAAAGATACTCTGATTAAACTCTTCTATCATTCAAATCTTATCTGTGACTTCTCTACTTCAAAACATCTAAATGATGATCAGAAGAAAACAGTCAAGAAAGATATGAAGCTGAGAGAATTAAAGTATGAATATCAGTGTCTTCAAAATAATCTCATTGCATAGTACAGATAGTTAAAGAATGTATGAGATACAGTTGAAGATTGCAGATATTATATACTGAGTCAGTGAATTCAATTCAGATGAAAGAAATTACAAAAGAAAGTCTTTAATAAGATATATCATAACTTCTTTGAAAATGTTGATAATGATATTATTGAGAAAAATTATCATGATCAGAATACTAGCTTTATTCCAGATACATCTCTGATTCTTTCAGAATAGAAGAAATTAGCTGATCTTGACTTTTAAAACTGAGATGTAAGTACTGTCTCTGAGTCACAGTTACTTGAGAATTGTATTTAATCTCTGGAACTTTGTCTTGCTCTTCATCATCTTCACATGCTCAAGCATCTGATGTTCAAGATTGTCCTCACAGAGCTAGCACAGAATAAGTCCTTCTCAGTCAACTTTTCAATTCAGAGCTCAACAGGTTTGCAGTGTTCTGACTGTTTAGATAATCTGAATTATCACTCAGCAGCACAGCAATACATCTTCAGCAGCAAGTATATCTTAAAGAATTACATTAATGATGTGCATCTGACAAACAGAGACTTTTCAAAACAAGTAGAGTATCACTACTCTGATTGTAAGACATCTTTGATTTTTAAAATATATTTCTATAATTACATTGTAACTGTACATGACATTCTACTCTCTGATGCATGAGAAAGCTTCTTCTTACTTTATATAAGCACTTCAGTGTTATTATTAAAATATTATCATTCTTCTGCTTCTTTCTGTGCTTGAAATATAAAGTCAAGACTGAGAAAACATGAATGCTGTTGAGTGAGAATATTTCAATGACTGTTATAAAGAGACTGTCACAGCTTTACATGTAATCTTCACTTACAGAAATCTCTCTTTATTATGAAATGAAGTGGTCACTTTCAGTGCATCTCAAGCTGATGTCTCTTCACAGAGTAGAAGTGACTGATTGAAAAGATAGTGAATTCTGAGATTCATATATGAGAGAATAAGTCAATGAAAGATCATGCAGAGAATGATGATTGATTAGAATCTTCATCTGATGTAATGTGTCAATATCAATTTCAGTCTTGATTTATTTTATACTATGCTTATCTTGATTGTTTTCTTATTTGCTTCTGTTTTCTTCATTTAATCTTATTTCACTTCTCAGATTTTATTCCAGCTCAGAAGTTCTATTGATATTGTCTATTACATTCTCACTCAATGTTTACCTGGTCTACACTCATGATATGACATTTTCTTTGTGTGTGTTTCTTTGTATATGTCTTTGTTTGTTTACTCTTCCCTCTCTTTTTTTGTCTCTCTCTTTGGTTTTTCTTCAAATCATTTCAGTTTGTCAATTTTATCACTCATGAATATAGGTCATATGACTACTTCTCAGTGAGAGTTTACTATTGTGTCAGTATTTTCTCATAATGTATGAAAGCTTCTAGAAAGTGACAGAGTCTTTGAGCTTCAGTCATCTCTAGATATTTAGTTGTTCAAACTTATTAACTATAGATGTAATGAATAGCAATATTCACACTTCTTCAGATAGAATATTTACTGCTTGCAGTGTTTCAACATAAGTTCTTTCTTTCTGTAGATGCAGTTTACAGTTTAGCTATAATTCATTTAACTTATTTTATCTTTGCACTGAATAAATGTCTAATAATACTTCATTATTGCTCTTCTGTACAAATGATAATGAGAAATACATCTTGTTTGATTTTCTGTCATACATGTGTTTTTTTGTTTCTCTTTGACAAGGTCAATAATTCATGGAAGTTTAGTTACAAGAGTAAAACAATGGCCATAGTTCATAGTGCTTAGTTGTTTAAAAATATTTATTTATGAATGGTTATTCATCAATGTTGTCTGAAGACAGGGCATAATTAGCACAATTTTCTGTCACTCAATTTATGAATGCAAGTGACAAGATATCAAGACTGCTGAGATATATATAGAGCTGCATCAAAGACCTGTTCACTTCCTCTATTCTTCTCTGTTTTTCACCTCATAACAATGAATACTCTATCTGAATTCATTAATGAAGCAGACTGCCGCATTACAAGCCTGTCATCAGAAATTATCACACTGATTCTTAAGAGTCTACCTGACTTTGACACTCTTTTTGTGATGATTTAAACATGTCAAAGACTTCTTTCAGTGTTCACATTCACAAAAGAGACAATTTTACACTCAGTGTTTTCAAACATAATTTGTGCTGCATTCAAGCACAACTGATCAGATAATCAAATGATAAATAGTGATTTCAGTCTTATCATCTGACAATTGATCATAGCAATTCAAAAAGATTTTATTTCTAGAGAACTTGCACTTGACTTCTTTGAAAAAAGCTGGATATTTCTAAGATTTAAAAGGCTTGAAGAGATACTCATTCTGATTGAAATAGCCTTGGCCTGATCACTGTGTTCCAGAGGCTTCAAATCAGACACAATTGAATTTCTTGAGAAAATCAAGTGTAAAAAGTTTAATTGATCTAGAAAAATGTGTCATCAGCATGAACATTCAACTCTTTCACCTCTGCTGAAGCTCAAAAGAAGACTTGAAGAGAAATCATTCAATCAAATTGACCCATACTATGACAGCTTGAGAGAGACACTGTTGGCTATTGTTCAGTCAAATGAAATTGTTTATATAACTCATAGTATTCATCTGCATCATGGGAAATTAATTCAGTGAGACTTTATTTTAGTGAGACTCAGCAGAGTATTATCAAATGAAACAAACTGATTTAAACTGAAGAATGTAAAAGACAACATGATGTTAATATTGATATATCTGTCAATCATCACTTCAACCTCATCACTCAAGTGATGATTATCAAGATTCAAGGAACAGGCTACT